TCAAAGTATAGATCGCAAGCATGCCCAAATGTTTAACCCTGCCAAGCTTAGGATTTCAGAAAGCAGACCAGTAGGATTGGCCACTTCGGTCGTGCTGCTTCCAGCAAGGTAGAGACCTAACGAGACAAGACCAACTTTGAGGAATGCTTCATAGATAACGAGGATAGCATCACGGCTCAACCCAATCAGTTCAAAATCTCCCTCCTTAATGAAACCTAGCGGAAAACCCCCTATCCAGTGCCCCAAGAACAATCGGATTAAAGCTCGCCTATAATCGCGGAATTGGTCACTGGAGCATTGTTGCATAACTAAGGTGTCGGTCAAAGATGTTCCTCTGCATGGTTCGTACGGGGTTCGACGCGGAAAATTGGTCTTCGGGGGAGCAGTCCGCAGCATAGATATTATCCTCCAACGCCAATCTAGAGGATCACACCAGACACCCGCCATATCACACGGAAACAGAGCGGCAAATTCCTGCGGATGTGACGACCACACTGTACGGCTCCGTTCATCATCAAGCAGTTCACTCTGCATGGCTGCAAACGGGGACTTATAATGAAAGAATCGGGCGTAGAAGGTTGGAGTGTTGACTTTAAAGACAACCTGTCCGAGCCCTTCCTTCTTTGCCTCTTCGTCGGGACAGTGTGGACCTTTCTCGCGAGAATGTTGTTGATACGAGTGTATGATACGCGTTCTCGCGCAGTGCTCGCCTGAGGTGATATACTTCACACTCTTTATACGAGACTGACCGCGGACCAAAGAGGATAGGATCCTGGAAAAGTATGTTTCTAACGACCTTCAAAGCGGTCAATCATTATGTCCATTCCAAAAGTGAGACAAATGAGGCAAATGAGGCAAATGAGGCAAACGAGGATCAAAGCTTACCTCTCGGAAAGTCGCGCAGACTTCGCAATAGCTGTTGTAATAGGCTCTGCTCTTGTCTGAATGTTAAGCTCTTTCTCATTATGCGTCAGGTAAATCCTCGCAGCTTTAGAGAGAATCCGGAATACCACCACGCTGCACATGGGGACCCACCACCACTTCATGAGGAAGAGCATAGAAGAGCCAAGACTCGCAGTGGCAGCGTCAAGGGGCGGCCCGGTAGTGTTGACGACAGCATTTATGACCGTTTCTCTTCCTCTTTTCAATGTGACCATGAGCTTGAGCTTGTCCAGCGGAGCTGCGCACGGATCAGACGAATCAATGACATAGCTCGCTGTGAGGGGGGTGAAGGGCGAGACCTGTAGATCCTTGTCGAATTTTCCTTGAAAACAGTAGGGGCCATTCCCGGGCGCGTCAGTTCGGCAATTCCGCGTGAGCCACATCCTGCGCTCGCCATATGACGTCTGAAGCTGTACAATCATTGCAGTGAGCTCCTTTCTGTTGTTGTACAGGTACCAGAACGAGAGCGGGTTATTCAGTTGCCATGTAACACTAGGGGGTGCTAAAATGTACGCATACGGCCACTCAGCAGGATCCTCTCCCTGCCAAGAATTAGCCCATGACCGGCATCAGCTGATGACTGTAACCAACCTCAGATAAGAGAAACTCTTCTAACTTTTGAGCCATCGACAGGTTTGCGTCACCGTTGAAGGCGTGATCCTCGGGTCTGATACTGAACCATGCTTTTTTGATCGGCAGCAAGGACCGAGGTCGAAAAGGTGGCTCCTCCACTGCGACCAAGGGGCTATAGCTGGCACGCAGGCCGACTGGATACCCAACGTAAAGATACGAATGGTGATAGTCGTCTTTGAAGCCGGACCGGCGCAGGTGACGAAGATCGCACGGAAACATCGTGACCCTACCGTGAAAAGACTTCGCGGTCCGGGGCTCGCCATTGCTCTTCGGAATCGGAGCTTGTCGGGGTATGCAGTAGTTTGAATCTTCGTTTTCGTGACGAGTGATATGCGCAGGGCAGCCACGTTGGGCTGCGTTCGAATGTATGTCCTGCACCGAATCACGATACTCTAATTGAGTTTGCAAGAAAGCGAATGTGACAAAGATTGCGGCAACAATTAGAACTGTTACCCAAGAGCGCTCTGCAAACTGCGTGAAAGCAATCAGAAAAAAGTTTTCACCCAGAGCCAACATGACTCTCCTCTCCAGCACCAGACGAAACACAAGTGAGGGCAGGAGAGTCGAAATAATATGCCACGGTGTCATTCTGCACAAACTGAAGGATAGAGGGAAATGAACACCAAATGGTAAGAACATACGCAGTTTTATGTCAAATGAGAATACGGTGGAATCGCGTATCGACTGCTGTAGACAGGACGATTGCTATGGGCAGCGCTCATTTACCCGTCCAGCTTCATGTTTACACGCCGCAAATCGAATTAAACAGTTCCAGCCCAGTCCCACCACTTTATTAGCTTTCCGTGAACTAGACGTATTGAGAACGAACTTCGGAATGTGGAAGTTTACCGAGTCCTTAAAACTTACATTGGATTTTTGACCACTGCACTGCAGCCTTCTAAATGTTTCCGTGATTTGCGGGGATAGACTGTCTGCGTTTTGGACACTTCAGTCCTGAAGTGCCCACAGGAATGGCCGACAGCAACTGGCAACTGCAATTTGGACGTATCAATTATTAAATATTAATCACTTCTAACAATAGGGAAAGAATGAACAATGACTAAATTAGTCTCGACGTCTCCCCATTGAACACTATCAATTGGCGGCCAAGGATTACAACGCGGAATAACCTCGGACGTTCCTTGTCTTCATGATTCAGCCGACACGTCTAGGCTGTCTCGATTGCATGGCCGATTTCAGTGTATGATCAATATTTGTTGATATTGCCCAAGCCAGTCAATCGACAAGCTCGACGGAAATTGTAAATACTCAAAGGGCGCCAATGTTGTTAAATGTTTCCAGCGATTGGAAAATAACAAGACAAAAGTATGAATTAAAGCCAGCTTTTTCTGCCACCCTTCCACGATGTGCATTAACTTTCTAAATGTGACCGGGCCACAAAAAATGAACAATGAAAAGCTAGCCAAGAAAGAACCCTACCGATGGAAAATGATTTTTCGTTATCACCAACACTTACACCAGCGGAGCTGTAGCACCTTCCCGGTGGTGGAAGGACGGACCCTCAAGTCTTAGAATGTGCATAATGGTAGAGCGGCACATGTTTCCCTTCCCTCCAGAACAAACAGCTGTATAACGCTTCTTTCACGCAGATATCTCGGTACTCATGGACGTTGATATCCAGGTCGCCACAAATCAGGATGTTGATCTTGTTATTTAAACGCCAATGTTGCGTCCGGGTCTGGGGATAGATAAATTCCCGCTATAGCCTCCGCGGCCCACATTGCCCAAGCTACCCAAACCAGTCTGCAAAGGTCTCTACAATGGATCCCGATCGCTCGCAGGTCACTCGGCCGGAAACAGTATTCTTTCCCAACATAGCAGACGCTGCCGGGAATGACGGCATGTCCATCGTATCGTCTGTGGATCGTAGCACAGAAGCGACCGCCCCGATCACTGTCTCCAAATCCAAGCCAATGGTAAAACCTTTGAACAAGCCCTTGAAGTCATTGAAGCCATTGGAGCCATTGAGGAGGAAGCGAAAGCGGGCTTCAGAAGTACCAACATCCAATCTTGAGCCACTAATTGGAGATCCGTGGGCAGTATATGTCAAAGGCATTGAGAACTTTCCCCGAAAGGGGATGTTACTGGCCCAGAATAGAGAAGACAAGATGGAGTTGGTTCACATCCAACCGCTCAAAGCGGAGCCAGCCTCGATACGGTCTTTGGTGAAGATCGTCAACGACCTCTCTTACCGCAGTTTCCCACAGCTCCTGCGCCATTACCAACATGAAGATCACACGTTCTTGGTGTGGGAATCGGCGGAATGCTCTTTTTCCCAGGTCCTGGGATCCAAGTACGTCCTTAACGAGACTGAAATAGCCTCGATTGTATGGCCGGTACGTCTAGTTACCCCCTTTACCCGTTGCTGGCGCCATGGGAGATACAGTTCCATTCCGAGACAAATACTGAAGCTCTGTAGATTCTCACTGGGATCAGGTATCTCCGCGATTGCGATAGAGCACTTGCCACACTCACCAACGACGAAGTTTTGTTTACGGGATCTGGTGGAGTCAGGATCGGTAAGTCCGTCCACCGAATGAGCGGCTATAGTCATTGTGGCCCTAATGCCTTGCTTTATTACCAGCTGGTGTGGAACGTAGTTGTCAGATCGACCCCGAGGATATGAATGCAGCTACGCTGAAGCTGACTGCCTTGTCGGAGATGGTCAAAAGATTGATGAAAAAGAACGAGAAATTTCATCCTGGCTTTGCATGGAGCGCAGAGGCCCTAGATCTACCACACAGGCTGAATACGGTTGAGTTAAATGAATTGATGTTGGTAAGTCGGATTATTCTATAAATGAAGCTCAAAGCTGAACAATCAGGACGGATTTTTTGCTACTCTGAAAGGCGAGGCAGATCTAAAGCTCATGGTGAATATTGTAAGCAAGACGTCGCATTACGATATCACCTTTCCGACACGTATTTGAATCGGAACTCGAACCATCTCTTCCCATATGAGCAAGGTGAAGTTATAAGAGGGGGGATCGTAGACTGTCAACTTCATATACATGCTCACTGGTAGTACCTCTGGTACACATGGAAGTAGCTCAGTGTCTTATAATCGAGATGGTGAAGGCAAAGCTGCCTGGTTTATGAAGGGCATTTTACTTTAATTTAAAGCAGACCATCTATCTGTCCAGTGGCTACTTTTGCTTCATAACGGAAATAGAAAGTCTGCTCATAAAGTAAAAGCGCATGTTTGCAATTTAGAAACAGACGAAAATGCATATCGTCGACAAAATGTCCCTCAGTCACCTTCGTTACTAAACTAAAACCTTAGCAATGACTAGTATACCCATTTACTTGTCAAAGGTTTAAATCATAGCGCAGCATAAGGTCAGTAGGTCGATAATGAGCCTGCATGCATTCCTTTGTAGCCTCCTACGGTTTCTTGAGCAAAAATCAGACGAATTCGGCAATGATTGCTGCCGTCGAATAGTAAGCCCGAGTTGTAGGCTCATTTCCTGTCTGCACGTGTATGGTCAGCATGAAAAACTCGCCCGAGCCGAAAAATCCCCATAGCTAGGCGGGGTGTATGCCTACCACGATAGTTGCCATCGCAAACTCCTTGCTACCATAGTTAGGCTCTCTGTTGAGCCATATGACCTTCTTGCCACTATACCACGCTTCACTCCAAGTCCTCTGCTGGAAATCATATCTCTTCCCAAACTGCCCTGGAGATGGCCATTCTTCTTCGTCTGCAAGTTGATCTTCCAGGAAGGGCGAGTGGAGGCCTTTGCCTACATAGTACTTACCAGTGTCTGGTGGAGATTCGGAAGAAAAACCTTCGGAATCTTTGCGTTCTTTGGAGTCGTTTCCCGTATTTTGGTCGGAGCTGCTATCGCGCTCTTGATATCTGCATTTTTCTTCATGCGCAGTGCCATCAACCACAGCGGTGACCCGTACATTACCGCTTAAGCGCTTAAATGCTTGGAAAACCAACATGTCAAGTCTCTTGAGCTGCTCTTCAATGTTGCCCCTGGCTGCGGCTGATGCAGAGTGCGGGTAGTGTTGAATAGTATGGAAGCCTAGTCTACCTACTGGTCAAAGGATGAGTGACTAGTATGTAAGAAGGAGCCTAAGAACTCCAGGGGGATCCGTAGGGTAGATAGATGTGGAACTTACAATTTTTGAGGTATACTTTGCATTTGGTGAGTTCATCAAGTTTCGCAACCCACGATAATAAACCGAGGTCTTCGCCAATGAGACACTCCATGCTCGCCGGGCCATATGAAACCCAGTATAAATTGTACGTGAGCGTCACATGCTGCCCCTTGGTGACCTTACCGACTTCGTGTTCCTCGTCGGAGTAAAATGCTGCCCATTGGATGTGTGACGTACTTAAGGGTCCCCAGCTATAGACGTTCTGCCGACCTTGGCGCCGAATAGTAAGCTCGCCGCCTTAGGTTTTGTGATCAGTGCTCTTCGATATTTCTGAGGCCCAAGTATACGCGGTTCGCGAGATCACATACCTTCGTGCGGAGTTGGGAGGCAAACCACAAGCGACCCCATCTGGTGCTCCGAGCGAGGTGTATCCACGTGCGCCTTGAACATTCCCGAGGGCGCGGAGTAGATCTGGCCCCTTTCTTAGCAGTCATCCGCGAAGAGTCAGCCACAAGTGCCAGAAGAGTGACTTACATTCATTTTGTACAGCTCAGCCCGGAGACCGCGGTGACTGTTATCAGCAACGCCGCGGAATGCCAGAGCCTGGCTGACTTTCTCCATGACCCGATTATCGTACGGGGAGTAGTCAGACGAGAATTTCTGGATATCCAGCGTGGAAGCCTGGCGGTACCCCTCATCAATCAATTCCTGATTACCGCGGCCAAAGCTTGCTGGCTCGCAATCCTTCAAGAGATGGGCCAAAGAATCCGTCACTGCGACCTGTGTTTCGACAACAGGAAAGGATATCTTTTTAACATGGCTTCCGTGAGGCCCAGAGTCCCAGCGAAATGTTACCGGATCCCTCTTTTCATGGGTGGTATCGGGATCGCTGGTCAGGTTGATCTTGCCTCCGACTGAGAAGAGAACTTCGGAGGAATCATGGGTGAGCATGTCCTTAATTGAGCGAAGCAAGCCGTCTGGGTCTGGATTTTGATCCCTACGTTTGCTATTCGGAGTACCCATAGGGGGACAGGTACGCTTAGGACGTGGCATAATTAGAAGCGTCTAATGTTTGCAGACTGGGGTGGGTTGGACGGATGACCGAAGGAATATAAGAAAGAGCAGAACAATATTCTGAATCAACTATATGTATAAGCGGAACGGAAAGAATGAGACACACGTGGCGGACAGCTAGATCAAGATAGGCGCAAGGCAGACTAGTGTTAGATAATTATAGTATTTAGTTACTACCTAGTTAGCTAGGTTCAAAATGGTTTACGCGTTACTCATATTATTGATCATCCATCTCGAGGCACTATCCACCTCTATGTGCATCACTGCTAGGAGGGATTCTAAACGTACGCGTTCAACGTGAGTGTATTGATTCTAGGAAGACTCAACAATACGCCTTTTCCCCCCTAGTTTGGCTATTGCAAGGACGGTTTCATCGGTTTATCCGGTCTAATTTCCGGTTCACGGGGGCCTATAGGCACGTAGAAATTGAAACAAGGCCCATCGGGATATTTACTCGGGGTTAAGGGGCGGATCATGTCTCCTAGGAGCTTATATCTATAAATCGCCTGGCCTACTAATTGTCATTTTACATTACCACTAGTAGGATGGATGAATGACGTCATTTATCCTGACCCCTCGCACATAAACGTTGTTTTGACCACTAGTCCAAAATACGAAACCGCACCCAGCCTATTGGGTTGTGGTTTATAATCCAACTATGAAAGCGATATGCAGACTATCACAATAAGTATGTATGTATAGGAGGGTTCTACCACTTCTTATACGAACTTAGAGCCTCGCCGAGGCCTACCGTGGCGTAGTTGCCGGCTGTGTTTGCTGGCTGCCCTTATGGCGCATGACTTCTGTCTCCGCGAAATCTAAGATGGCGTCCACCATCTTGGCACGCGAGGCGTTATGTACCTGGCCGCTGCCGGCAGCGCACACTCGGAAATTATATGGAAGCCTGCCCTGAAACCGGCGTACCTGTTCACGCAGCTACGCACGGGCCACAACTGGCTGTCTACCTACGCCAAGACCTTTGATTTCCGCGAGGATGACCAGTGCGTCTGCGGTGCGCAACAAACAGTCACCCATGTTTTGGTGGACTGCCCAAGACTGAGGGAATTGCGGAGGAAGCTCAGAAGAGAAGTCGGGGATGCGTTCAATAGTGGATCGAGTCTGCTGGGAGGCTCAACTGAAGGTGAGAAAGGTAAACCAGACACCGTCTCGCGAGCCAAAACGGTCAATGCCGTGCTGGACTTCGCCGAGGCGTCACAGCGGTTTTGCAGTCGCGCGCCACGAGGGCAGCCTAATATGGGAGCGGCAATTAGGCCACGAGAGGCCGTGACGAGGCTCTAAGTTCGTTTTCAGGAAGTGGATCACTCTACATGTACATACTCGGGCAATATAGTTGTTGTATCCTGCATATCGCTTTCAATATTGCGAGGGGTCAGGGTAAATGAAACACACACACACACAGACTGTACCTGGCTTACCATTTCCTCCCTCTTCAAACCTAGAACCTAGATTACCATGTGGCAAAGAGAGGCAACAGCACCGGGAAAGTAGTGTTAAATTTCACACGTCGTCTCGTGCACATGAGTGCTCTTTTCTGGAAGCTGGAGGCCCTTCAGTGTTTTCATAGCTTCCGCAATCCCCATGTACGCGTGACTCAGATCGTTCTCTAGCTGTTTCACCACGGACTTGCTATCATCGAGCTCCTCGGAAATCCCGCGACACTTTGCCTCCCACTCTCGCCTTTCCTCAAGTAACTTCTCCGAATAGGCTTGGGCGCGTTCAAGTTCGACAACGAGCTCCTGGTTCTCGTCTTCCAATCGTTGAATAGTGGCCGTGAAAGAACCACCCCCAGAAGCTGTTTGGAATAGCTTAGGAGGCTCTTTTGAATTTGGGTACTTTTTTGTTTTTATTTCAGTATATCTGGGGAAATCAGCAGAAACTGGTGTCTCACCTCGTCGCTGATCCTTTTATCAGGGCGTGCATCATGTTCCCGTAGCGTCTGCGGACTCACAGCTTCTATCGAGCGCCCGAGCGCATCACATATCTTCTTATACGAGCCGACCGTCCCATCACTTAAGTTCGATTTCAACAGGTGTTCTTGGGACTTTGATACCGACCATGCATAGCCGTCTGCCATGGAGGGCTGTAATCGGACCCGACCTGGGGCGACAGTAAGGCCTAGCCGCTCATCTGAATGCCATCATTAATTGTCATTCCGGTTGGATGCCCCTGAATTTGGATACCATACAGATATGTGTTGCCAGTGCTTCCCGACATTGCCGCCTCCACAGTGCACGCTTCTCGTTGCTTGAGAGCGCCATTCTGAGGGGGTCTTTTTGGCGATCGGTTGACCGACATAGCGTGGTCTATATACATACCTGATACGATCTATCCTGTTGCCGCAATTGGCTGTTGCCGTTTATCGCGGATACTCACAATGGTCGTACTGGTGCTTTCTTCGCACGATCCAGGATGTGGCTAATAACCACCCCTGTTTATAAAGAAAAATAAACGTATTGGCGGTTGTTTACTTGAAAAAAGAAATCACCGCCCCGAAGCTCCGTATGGTCTCCATGTAACTGATGGAGGTTCATTTTCATAAGCCCGGATTACTTTCTCACCCAAGGAGCTGCCAGTAACGAGGCGTACTGGTTCCTCCGGTACCAGTTTTGAGTGGCCTGCAATCAGAGAATACTTTGGATCTGAGTAGTGCATGCTAACGTCAAGGTCAAAATAGCCTGGCACTTCACCGTCACCCGTTGGAATCGAGTAAGTATTACCGGACCTCAAATCTCAAAATGAGGCTAGCGGCCGACTACAATGTAGACCTAAGCTTTTCGGTGTCTCAATCACGATGATATTGCAGGGTGGTGCAATAAAACCAAGCACGGGTATTCTGGGGGTGGCGCTTGGGCAAAACTGAGGGTGGCTTCTATCGTCTCGAAATATGAGGCAAAGATTGTCTAACTGTAGCACTTCCCGGTACGATAAATACCTCTTATGATCCACCGTACAAATCTGCGAATTGATTCACTTTGTTCAGCTCTAATGGCGCACATCTCTCACAGGCGAACTCGGCAGATCACCCCGGAGAGGCTTAGCCTCCTGGGCCATCCGCCCAATGTGCGATCTACATCGACCAAGAGGAAGAGGAGAGTTCTCGGCCATTCACGCCGGTTAACTGAAAGAGCCACCACTGGAGAGATCCACATCAGTCCGTCACGTCAAAAAAGCCGTATCACCCTCCGACTGCGCCAGCAGCAGTGTCAGGGTCCTGAGTCAGCCTGGTGGACTTCTTCGGAAATCTTCGGCCAGAATGACGACGACAAAAACGACAAAAACCAGGATGACGGTGAACAAAGCCAGGATGAGGCCGCCACCAAAGAAATGGTTCGGCAAGCTTGGCTCAAACGGCTACGTCCCAGAGCGTGTCATCAATCTTCGCCGGTCAAGTCCAATGAGACGCGGAAGAGCAAGCGGGTTTGCAAGGTTTAGTGCCACCAAGAAGTTTACTCAACGAACACCAAGGTTGGGATACTGTCGTGATAAAGGTGCGACGAGGGCGTTGACGTATCTATCTCAATAAATAAGGTCATTTTCCACTTCTCAGATTGAAATTGCACAGATGCTGGCTCCTTGCCTGTAAGATGTCGGCCTATATGATATATCGGCAGAAAGAACACTGATCTACTTGCAGACCTCGCTCATCCACGTTCGCCTTGGGTGTCATTCTGGTTGCGCGGTGAAACGCTGGCCTTGCCGACTGGCAAGAGTAGACCACACGAGCTGGCGATGGAGCGCAATAATGACAATAATCTTCCTTGGGTCCTAGCCAGCGGTGGGCAGAGTGAAGGAATATATCTGACCCCGGGGTCGGGAGATGTCAAGTTATAGAGAATAGATAGGTAGCTCTTCCAACCAACAAATTTACTTTTCGCCCGTATATTTGATATAATTGTCCCTGTCGAGCAACTCGTATAGAGGCGCGTCGGCAAGCCCTGGATGCCTCGCGAGAACGACACCGGAAACGTGGCCCGGTGTCGTGAGGGCACCCTTGTTTATTCTGACCTAACCTCGGAACCAAAACGAACTCTGCGCATTCGTAATTTAAAAACCAGGTAAAGAGCGCTCATCTGTTACATAGCCTATTATCTCCACTCCCAACGTTTGCAGCGTGACCTAAAAGGCCATGTTGAAATCATATAATCTATAGCTAAAACAGACTGGCAGCTTCAAAATCAGAGCCTCAAGACTTCACAGACGGACTAGCCTGTTCTAGTGCTAGACTTGATAGTAATGTATTGTAATTAACGCACTAATCAACCATCGTTAACATCTCTCATAATGTGTTCAACAGAGTTAAATGCTTCAGCTGCACTGGGTGTGTGGTACGTAGCTAATGGAACTCCTGTTTACAATTTGGATTATTAAACATTTTGCTAAGAATGAACTGAAGTTTAATAAATAACATATATTAGCTGGTGTTGGCGCGACGATTCAGTAAGAATTTACTAATCTTATTAAGGATGACTTTTAAAGTATATATTTGTATTTAAGAATATGGGTTGTTCAATTAATACCTGCAATGCAGCCGGAAAATATATTCCAACTTATATTCTTCCATATGTTTAGATATAATTACGAATTTATGTATATTTAAACTTAATTATAATATCAGAAAGTAATAGAATAAAAGAAACATGCGATCGCTCTTGAAATCGTTCCGAAGCTGGCAATGAAGATAATGCAGGGTTTGGTGAACGAACATCTTAACCTCATCCATCGTTCCGGCAAACAAAAACGACTGATTTATTAAGGGCTGTCGAATGCGTTTGTTTAAATGCAACTAGTGGATGCTTGAGCAAGAGCGCCTATTGTTCATTCACTTTAAACAGGCTATAGTACTCTGACCTCGCCAAAAATGTGAGGAACACTGGACAATCGAATTAAGCACTCATCAAGAATCTTGGCACGCCCGTTTATCAAAAAAGCGCCTAATCATGACCATTTCGCTGAACGAGGGCATGGTACATTCCTTGAGCAAACCAGCGTCCAAGGGTTGCACGAACACCCTTCGAGCCCCTCCGGTAGGAGCTATTGCTACTCACGCTGGACATGTGAACAAGCACCATTTATTTCTGGATGGGTGCGTTGCTTTCAAATACACCACATCAGACAAGGCCAGCCTCAGAAACGTGACGCGCCTCAGTTGTTTCACTTGCCCAAATAAATTGGCCCTTCCGCTTGGTATAAATAGGCTCCCATGCCAAAGCCTGGTCTTAATTACCTGCCGACAAACTCTCACAATGGACGGTTCTCACAACGAGCCTGAAGCGAAAGTCAAGCACGACCAAGGCAGAGAGAGCGCCCCGCCGGAACACGTCAATGAGCCCCCGGTCTTTCCAGCGCTGCAGGACCATGATCAGCAGCTGGTAGGTAACAATTCTGTCTACTTTTAAGCTGTGTACTAACCCTAGGGAAAAGCTACCAGAGCTGCAACAGCCCCCGAACGAGGCAGACGCATTGGCCGCTGAACAATTCCAATCGCTGGTCGAGAAGTTCAAGCGACTGAGTCAAGACGACCCACAATTCGCACACCAGGCTGCCCAGATTTTGAGGTTTTACCGGCGGTCGTATGAATCCTACGTCGCAAGAAATATTGATAGCCAAGTTGTTGGAAATGTGAATGGGGAGCTCCACACGCCAAATCTTCAATTGTGCCAACAACGTGAATACCACAAAAGTCGATCTGCTAAGCAGGAAGAAGAAGTGGTCAATTTTGGACGGCCCTTTGAAAATTTCGGCACGGGTATTGGTAGGCTCCTAAGAGACTCAGAGGGCTCCATCTTAGAACCGTTGCACGAGGCAGCTAACAAAGAAAGTGATGAAGCTCTTTAATCTGCTATCTCTAACACTTTAGCTATGGATTTAACTCATGCGATGATTTTAAATCCAATAAATGATGGTCAATAAGGCGGAAAACCCAATCATAATCCCCCAGAGTGCTCTAGATTCGGTAGTAATGGGATACGAAATGAGACCATATACCAAAACTACAGATTATTGGCGAGAAGTGTGGAAGTGTTAGGAGGCTTTGGTTCACAGTCATTATTATTGTAGTATAATACGTTCGGATTGCTGTTGACACTCACGGGAAGCCTACTTTACTGCAAAAAAAAAAAATCATCCCCACACCCATGAACGAGCTACAGGGGCGACTTTTTACCGACCTCGTTTTTATTTGGCGCTTCTATGTCGATGATCCTTCGAAATGGAGATACGATTCTCCTCTATTCAGGGTACTACGTATTGCTTTCCTATGTCTTGCAGCCTGGGATTTTGAGGTGTCTTTCGATTGCAACTTTGAGCTTCCAATCTCTTTCGCGTCGATTCCCCTTTGGAGCTACTCCGACGCGGACGTCTATTGGTTTTATGCTGGACTGGCTTATGGCTTGGAAGATAGCTCCTAAGTCGCGGTCGCTAATAATTTGGACTATGCGTCGACGGTCTGGCACAACCCACTTTGGGACAAACGCACCTCCGCCACCTGAACATAGCCCAGAGGACCGCACTGACCCGCGACTTGTCAACGTTTAGGACGGTGGCCACCACAACCCTAGAGGTGGAGGCCCAGGCCCTTCCCACCCATCTCCGTCTCCCCACCGAGCCCAGAACACCACTGCAAGACTTCACACTTTATCTCGCGACCACCCTATCTAGAGTGTGTTGTCAAGGGCCCAGAAACAGAGGAATAACGTCGGGTCGTATGCTCGCTTCCCACTAGTGGAAGCGTTGACGTAGGTTCTTTGAGACAATACTTTTGCAGGTCACCTGCATGCATAATTATGAAGTAAAGAAGACCCCGAAACTGAGAGCGAGACAAAGGCGTGGAGACTCCTTGGGAGTATGCCTGGTGCAGTCAGTGGGGGACAGGACGGGGTCTAATCTAGACTCCCGTTTCAACGAGACAGGATAAACAGGTTGTTATGAAAAATCAGCAAGAACCGAAAGTTCAATCAAAGATTAGAAGAGCAACTTGAATTGGAGCTATGTAACAGCCTGTAATATTTCCACATCTACCGCAACAGTTTCCATCCAAGATATACTTGAAGCATTTGGAGGAAACCCCCATTCTTCCAAGGCTGAGGATATACTTGTGTGATATAGGGCTTCCGTGCTTGTTTTCAGAGGGAGGACTCTAGTACCGTTTTTAACACAGCTCGAGAATAGCGAACAGCCGTATATGCCAAGACCAAGTGCAATACATAGAGGCTAGACCGCCAGCTCCCAAATACACCTATAGTCTCCAGCGGTTGAACCATGTAGAATGCAGCACCGAGAGTATTACATATCACGAATTGGCCAATCTGGACTGCCAGCACCGGGGGGCTTGGTAGTGCCTCGGTGAGAGCGTGAATGGTTGGAACAAGCGAAAGCAGTCCCAGAGAGACACAATGGTAAGGGAATCTCATTCGTGCCGTAGTGATGGCGGGATCACAAGCCAAGAAGTCTACCAAGTTCCCAACGGCGACCATGGTGAATGCAAACAAATAACCAAGTTGGATGGAAGGCTGAGTAGGGAATAGCAAGACCACCGCTGGGATAGTTGACGCCCAGATAAGTATCAAAGCTCCCCCGAACTCAAACTTTTGCAAGTTGGCTGCATCCTCTCCCTGGAATGCAAATATTGTTCGGTAAAGCAAACTTGACAAGTACCATATTATCCAGCCACCGCTGAATGAGATGACGGAGAGTGAATTGATGATCGCATCTGGCGATGAAGGGAAATGAAAGAGAAGGAATTGGAGAATAAAGAGAGAAAAGTATGTCAATCCGAAAATGTCGATGATGGCGATAACTGCAGAGTCGCGCAGACGGTGGACCTCGGAGTTGGTCATAGTGATCAGGCTGCCAGGTTTTAGGATAGCTGGTAGTAGGTTGGGAAAGAGGAATTTATAACTCCGACGACGGGTAGGATATAGCACAAAAGCAGATGTGGAATTTGTGACTTCCTTTTTCTCACTAACCACATCATTGGTCATACCACCCTCAAATCTGGAAGTCGCTTTAATTTTAAACGCGGCTTTATAGTGTTCCTTTGTTATAGTCCATCTGCCATAATGGACAATAACCATGTCCTCAGAAGAGCATTGCCGAGCTCAACCCTCCCTAGCCTCTAACTCGGATGGAGGTTACTTTTGTATTGTGGATGAACAAATCTACGTATACTGGTTATGAGAATAATCCTACAATTTCCTTATTCTATGAGTGCTGCAAGGTACGAAAATAGTGTTCTTGTAGACAGTGGACAGATAACAAAAGCTATTTACTCAGTCCAATCATCCAGGGCTCCCTTCGCCACAGACGTCCTAAATAACCAATGCAATAGCCAAGAATGTTGGTAGTGTATATCGGCTAAAACACTTGAGAGACTTCACAGCGCCAGAAGGCACCGACCGTACTGTTTGCCTATCGCGACTTGACCAGTTTAACAATGTATCGACCACATCGCATTTAGTTGCGTACATATTAACATTTGATGAATCGGAGAAACTGTTAACTTTTCTGCTCCAAATAAACACGAAGGACCTGAAGACCCATAACTCCACTTCCGCCTTTCCAGTAAGCCAAAGCATAAAGCCCAGAGATATACCACCCTTTCACTACAAAGGACCTTGAACATATAAAGCTGAATATGGTAGCTGTCTCTGGTTCGGGGTCAGTTGGACTTTGTCTTCAGAGCTTGAAGCTGCCAGGACTACACCATGCCCACGAAGCACCGCCGCCAATACCGAAGGATAAGGCAAGCTGATGCAGCCCAAGTTACTGAGCATGGTACGTTATAATTCTGTATAATTCCAGTTTCAGGTTTAATTCAATAACAAAGAATCCGGAAATATCGCTTCCGCGTTTTCAAGCCTACGATGGGCTTGTATACCATTTCGAGCGCAACATTATATTCTGAAATCCCTGCAGTGTCGGCTAGAGCAATGTGGGTTCGCATTTCTTCAGCGATGTTCATTCAGTGAGCCCCGATCACTTGAGTGGGGCTACCCGGAGGAGATGGAGTTACCCAAATTCTTTCAGTTACTTCAAAAGCATTTTGGATGCTTGGATACCAAAGAAATCATGAGGTATAAACGTCAAATCACGAACATCCGCCATGCTGCAGTTCACCGAGTTGCGCAGAGCCGGCATTCGATTTGGGAAAAGCTTGACGCCGCCTCTGCGTTTGCAAAAAGCCTCGAAGACTTTCAATGTGTCCAAGACATTCTACTCTTTAAGATGAGCTTAAAAGGTCTTTTAGCTGACTTGGATGATTGTTTTGAACAACTGGCTAGCCGAACAAGGGCACAGCTTTACCATTGCAAATGCCATCCACTGAAGCTGAGAAGGCGATTGTTGTTGTTACCACAAGCCGTCAAAAGGATAGTCGAACAAAACGAGCACCGTTTTAACTCACTGGTGCAAGGAGTTGTCAGAAGCTATCTTTTGGGAGCAGGATGGCTTCTGTGAATGGAATTCGGTAAGGCGATGAATACTAATGTGCATCCAACCTTGACCTATACATTGAATACTCGATTAGCGGTCCCGACTTTTTATGAGTTATTAATCCATAGTTAATCACTGTAACTCACCCTGAGAGGACGGCTAATGTTGGTGTGAACCTCAACTGGTAGTAAAATGTTTTGCTGAACCTAATAGATAGACTTTATAGCAAACTCTGGTCACTGCGAGTATTACAGAGTTACTGATAGTTTCCATATTTGACTTTAGCATAAGCTGGAGGAAGAGAATTCACCAAATAAGCGGATTTTATATAGCGAATATATCTACTGTAGAGTATTTTGGCCTAGCCGGTTCCTTTACTTGCTGGTACCAGGTTTACACTACGATAATCACTCGATACCGGGCCACTAAGATTCATGGATCCCTTCAGAGTTATAATTTAGCCCAGGCATTTAGTAGAGGGAACCGTTTGAAGAATTACTCACATGATAGGCGCTAATTAGAGCAAGCTGCATTGGAAAATCTTTAGAGGGGACACCTAAGGCACGTACCTTATGGCACAAGGTCCAAACGCCTCTTGCAGCCCAGTACGATTAACAACGCATCATGGATAAGGGGGTCAAATGTGAATAAGTGGAGAATTGATTACGAATATGGCCTTGAGCCGGCCCCAGAAGAAAACGAAGGATTAAAGGCTTTCCTCAAAAACTGATTCACTAATCAGATCTCTTCAATCATATATCCCCACAGGGGGAAGTGAGGAGGTATATTAGTTACGCCTTTGACGGACTGGGCAATGCGGCTTTACATGTCTCACAACACCCAAGCCTATTATGGGTACTCAGCTCTACCATGAATATATCTGCAATGTATTAGCGCTCTTTTGTTGACTCCTACTTAATTACAAAAATGCTTCACACCGTTGCTTTATGAAGGGGCGATGTCTTGTTAAATTTAGTTTGCGAAAGCTTGCTCATTCAAATAGCTGTTTCCATACACTTTGACGTTGTGGCGTATTGAAAACAGGAGGTTGGGGGAAGGCCAACTCGGTCGACGAATCGGGTAGATAGTCTGCGGGAGTTTTATGCACTGCTGGCTGAGGACGTCTCTTCTAAAGCAATATCAATTTCGGGACCTTGTGCTTTTCCTTCTTCCAGATCTTACTATTTCCTCACGAGTCGGGGCGGGGATATGAGGATGAGAGCTGTATGTATAAACTCGCTTATTGGGCATCTCCATAACCAACCAACTCCGAATTGAGTACAAGCGCCAGAAATCATTATGGCGCCGAAGGAGATTATTTCGCCGCTTGCGGAGCTGCTCTTGCTTGACACGACTCAAACTGGGTGCCATGTACGCTGTCTGTGGACCTCGGAGTCCAGGAACTAACTGTGTGAGTAACTACCTGGGATACGAAAGAACAGAGGGCTACTCCGATGTAATATATATTGGAATTATGCACAGGCTTGAAGAGCATAAGCCTCTTTTCATGCGCCTAGAGAAGTGAATGCTTTGAACCATGTCGGCCGTCCATTCTCAGTCGTTATTTTCCTAAGCATGTAAATTGGGGAAGGGAAATAGAGAGATAAACACAGCCTATTTAATCCTCGATCCGGTGAACGTTGAACAATCACGATGATGGCCTGTACCGTCAACAAAAATAAGAAGGTCTGATCAAAACCAAGTGTCATCCCATTCATAATAAATGTCCTGTTCATAGTAAACGGAAGCAGGAGTGATAAGTGAGGACCGCAAAAATTTCGGTCAAATCATTATTGGCTTATACATGCAACAGAAAAGATAGCGTGCGTTTGATATTCACAAGTACTCTGGGAATTTAACACAAGAATGAAAATATTATACCACTCACTTTGGGGCTTTGAGTCGCTCGGAGCGGCCACCCGATTCACAACACTATGCCGTGTCACTACGCTACAGTACAGGCGGGCTCGAAATCAGTTTCACCTTTTAAATCTCTTCAATTGTTTCTCGAACGCTATTTTTCATTAGGCTATACCTACCCCTGACCAATTTTCGACAGTATCTCAGTATGGTAATGATAAACAGCCTAGAAATAGCTGCAGATGAATATAGTGTATCCCATTCAAAAAATCTCAAGAACAGAAGCTCTTTCCTCACGCCTTGGAGTTCCTTTCATACTGCTTTTAATCAGTCGATCTAGCAAACGAGGGTCTTGACCAATCACATCGATTATGTTTGAGCAATCGAAAGAATTCTCTGCAAACCAGATATCGTCCCCATTCACATCACATTGAGACATTTTCAATCTTGTAAGTTGGAGTCAATTGCGGACTTCACTTAGCAGTGTTTGCAGTATTTGAGTCAAATTTGTGTCTAGACCTGTGAAGCGAAATTAATTCTGCTCGTCGAGGTGCTTTTGATAGCCCCTTTTGTCGATAGTACTTGAAGAGTTGTCGTCCCAATTCCAGCATGGTAGAGAGCGGGGGTTATCACGTAGTTGGTCTGGGATTAGCTGGTCGGCTGAAATGACCACGGTCTGCAATGAGAGTCCGAACAAGCGATGGCGTGATAGATTCAACAATGCCATGAGGTTAAATCGACTTAACAGATGGACTCGTTCACGGAAGAAGCGATTAGAGAAAAGCGTGAGAGAAAAGTCTGTAAGATATCGAGCACTAAGCCGAAAATTACAGAGATCTTCGCATCCAAGGTGCTCAGCAACGATTGTGACAAGCTCCGGACAGAGGTGGTCAATACTTGCGGACATATTGAGCGTAAGGCAAACGCCTGGGGCCTGTCGGGGTGTGATCAGGGAGCGAACGCCGATGAGGGGCACATGGATGTGCAGCAGTATGGGTATTGAGGTCACGTCGTACAAACTTACCATACAGTTCAGTATTCCGAATTCAGCTAAACCAAAAGTAAACTAGCATGTCTCAAGATGGCGTTTTGGAAAGAACCCAAGAGTAAATGGTGAAGGTAATTTTGAGCGTGCCTGTGCCAAAATATGCCATCGGTCTACTTGGCTTCAATCATCGGGATGCTCGACCTGGACTAAAACTTAAAATGGTTGGAAGAGCTTGGAATCTTGACCAAGATAAAATATATGGGCGCAAAATGTACGATTTGGGCACAAACATACCATTTATTTAGAAATTTCTTAATTAGTAGAAGGGTACTATAGCCTCTTGTATTTTGCATGTGCAGTATAAAGGTAGAACTCGTTGGGGAACAGTCAAACTTATGTCCTTATATATGTTACAGTATGTGCTCTCATGTGCTCTAGTATATCTTGGCAGTGGTAAAGGAGAGTCTGTTCTTCGTAATGAAATAAGGAAGATACATAGGCTCTTCCATTTAACACTAACATGGTCACATGTCTCGGTACAGTAGAATTCGAAAACAGGCGGTTCGTACCCGAAACCGCCCTAGTCTACATATGGACATAGATGTAAACAATTAATTTCTAAGAATAGACCGATTCAATACTTGGACGATCATATTACGTATAATATTCTATGATACACGAAATTCTGATACACTGCCCCGCCATTCCCCTCCATACTGTTATCCTTACACCCAATTCTTTCGCAATCAACACTTTCGCTTATCCCACAACTTAAGTCCAGTAAATATAGCACCGAGACTTTCCCCATCGTAGCTACGCTTCATTCATAATATGATAGAAAGCAAATTATTAACCACACCTCAAATGGCTGATGCTGCCGAATGTAGCGATCGAACGACCAAGAATATTCGTCGGAACTTGCGGCTATTCGGAACAGTCCATGTCCCTTTGAATCGCGTCGGTCGAAGAAGAACCATAACGCCCCCAATGCTTGACGCCCTTCGTGAACATCTGCTCGAAAAACCGGGTCTCTACCTCGATGAAATGGTAATATTCATATGGGATGAATTTCGGATACTTGCAACGACTTCAAGTATTAGAAGGGCTTTGTCATTTACTGGCTTGTCGAAAAAGTCCATTCGCCAGAGACCAAGGAACAGAATGCAGAATTACGAGAACTCTATCTTCATAACATCTCAGAATTTGAGTCGTACCACCTTGTCTATGTTGACGAGTCTGGTTGTGATAAACGAATCGGACTCAGAAGAACCGGTTGGTCACCACTCGGTGTTGCCCCAGTCCAAGTGTCACAGTTTCACGGTGATGGACGGTATCAAATACTCCCAGCGTACGCCCAAGATGGTACGTATCGTGCTTTCCCGCGTTTTTCGTGGTTCAACGGATGCTGGTGTATTCGAAGATTTTCTCGACCAGCTTCTTCGACACTGTGGAAGATGGCCGGAGCCGAAATCCGTCCTGGGCATGGATAACGACTCGTTTCACCACACTGAACGTATTACGCAGATGTGTGCTGATGCTGGAGTCAAGTTGATTTACCTACCACCTTATTCACCGGACCTTAATCACATTGAAGAATTTTTTGCTGAGTTAAAAAGCTTTATCAGGCGTAGTTGGTGCTACTATGAAGAAAATTCAAATGAAGGATCTGATTTGATCATTTTCTTGATTGGTGCATTGAAGCAGTTGGAGCTGAAAGGGAGAGTGCTGAAGGTCATTTCCGGCACGCAGGGCTATATTTGCGTGGTGATAAATGTCATTTTCTATCCCATCTGCAAATTCCAATCAATTTCTTGGAAAGGAATTATACAATCAACAGTGGTTTCGTGATTGTGCCTGAGGTGTGTCCACATCGCGTTGTCAGAATCGTAGCTGCGGTGATTTTTGGTATTAGAGCTACAATCGTAGCAATACCACATGTGGTTGTGCCCATCGATTTCTCCAGCGCGCCCGGGGCGCCTGATAAAACTAGCATGAGAGCGACAAATATGCTCGATCGCTTCTCGAATATCAAAATCTTGATCGTGTTCCGTGCATGTCAAAGCCTGCATGTTGAAACCAGTATACAGCTGTCCTAAGGCAATGTTCGCATGATATATTGCAATGAACGGTTATAGGCTTACCTCTCATGTATTCAACAAATGTGATTAGATTTCATCAATATTGAAACTAGCGATAATGACCTAAATAAGATAAATATACAGGTATATACATGTAAATTGTAATGGTCGTGAGGTTAGTTGACTTTTATCTGAGGGTGTTGGTATTACGTCATGATATTGTACACGTCATCAGAATCATGAGAGGACAATTGTCAGCTTGGAATTGCGTAAGGGAGGCTGCGAGCACATGAAACCCATCAGACGGAAATAAATTTGATATTACATAAACCCAGCCGTATTGCCTACACTTACATATCGATTGCTTGCCAAGGCAGAAAACAAAATATGCCAGCGAGTTTCCTGAGTCTTCCTGCTGAGCTCCGCAATGAGATCTATAAATACCTCCTAGTAAGTGGAGATCCTATCATTCCTTGGAGCAAAAGACATGAGCTTGCATCGAACCTTCTGTCCACAAACACTATGATCCTACACGAGGCCAGCTCACTACTCTATGGCAATAACTGCTTTGACCTCTCGTCATCGAGCCCTATACTTATATGCGACTTCCTCGCTACTATAGGCTTGGTGAACGCTTCTCATCTTAATTGTATCCGCATCAGCTTTCCTGAATTCCACGACGTTGGAGAAGAGGTCAGCCTTGAGGAAGAAAGCCTGCGCGCTTTAACAAAGATCCAGGAATACTGTACCGACCTCAAACGTATCACAGCGACTGCTCCAAGCACATATTGGATGGGGATTCAACTATCAGTTGACAGCCCTTCCATTTGCGAAAGGGCATTGGATGTGGTTGACGCTCACTTCAGAGCGATCACATCACTGCAAGAGATTGTCATGGAAGTTTATGATAAAGGCCTGGAATCTTCTCTTATAGGGAAAATGAAGAGTTATGGGTGGACACTCAGGACAGTGGAGATCGTGGAAGAGGAGAAATGGGACAATGATAGAACTTGGGATGAAATTGAAGATGATCATTATCTTTACAACGACAACGATGATGATAATGATGACGACTACGATATTGACAACGACAGTGACTTCTGGAGAAGGGCAGCAGACTAAGCGTCATTTTGGTCTTGTCTTTTCAAGAAGGAAACAAACTCGGTGGGTTAACTCGTGGCACAGGTCTGACGCTGAAAGGTTATCCAATCCAAAATCCAAAAAAGAAGAGAAGAATTAAAAAAGAAAACGGATTTCCCATCGCCAACGGAATTCATATTATACATCATCAAGAATGGGTATTACTTTCTTCACAGTTTCGACCCAGTTACGGATATTCTCTACAAATGTGCGAGCAATTCCCGGCATGACCCCTTTACCAACGAAGAATCCTAGATTTTCGTCCTTATGTATGTGCTCAAGGTCGAAGCCATCCGACAGCGTCACATCACACGCCTGCCGAAATGCAGCTTTGAGTGTATCATCCGATACAGTTGATGCAAGCCACTCACCATACTCTTTGACAGCTACGTCTCTGGAACCAGGAATCTTCAAAGGAGATGTTTCTTTTGAAACTCTTGGGTCAGCAGTTGCACTGGAAGCTGTTGGATCCAATCCAACAGAGTGAGATGGCAGAACATTGATGTTGATAGGTAGATACGGTGTGACGCCGAGAACCTTGCCACTTTTGCTTTTGTCTTTCTCCTGTCGTTGCTGTTCTTCCAAATGAAGCTCTTCCTGTATTTCATCCGGAACATCTTTATGTGTTTCAAGGACGCCGCCTTTCTCAGCATAGGTCACTAATCGCTTGAGGGTTTGTGTGCGAAGTCGATAATGCTCTTTTCCTACTGGGTCAAGCCAGCAGTAAGGTCCCAGGCGGCATGCGGGGGAATCGCATTTCATCAAGTCATACACGTGGCGCCAAATTGCTTGCTGCCCACATGCATTTTCTTCAGTGTCTAGCTGAGCGTCTCGATCATCGAGCATTCTGTTTGTCACAGATGATTTACCTCGCTTCTCCCCTTTCCGACCCGCGGATACAGAAGTGCTGTCTTCTACATAGTCAAAGCACATCCTCAGCGTGAGTCTCTTACCATGTGAAAACTAAATCGACCACATGCGAAGTTGCTTCTCAATAGGTGCCCAAACGATATCGGTCTTGTTGAAACGCTTCGTCAGATCGCGCTGGGATAGATCATTGACCGAAGCAACAATCGCCGTGTCATCCACCCTAATCCTTCTTTTGTGTGATACTTTTTCTTGAAGAACCTTTCTTAGCTTCTCTTCTAGCACCAAATTCCAGTAGGTGCTCTGGGCCAATACTATGTCTTCCTCGGTGCCCTTCACCACAGCCTTGTTGTTAAGAGTAACCCGCCATTCTATGAAATAATGAATACAGCTTGGCGCGGAGCAGTGGCAAAGTGCTCGGTCGGGTTTGGATTGCGGCATTAGGCTCATACCCGAGGACGGATGGGGAGGGGCTATAGTTGGACCGTGTAGCATAAGGACTCCGAAAGTATCCTGGAGTAGGAGGGGAATACTGAGAATCTTGATCCCAAGACTCCGGCTCTTGGGGCTGAGAGAAGTTGTTGTGGAATGGAGTGTCACTCATATCGACCCGATCAAAGTTCTTTCTGCCTGTAGATTATGATCAGCTTACGTGGGTACTAGCCGTCAGCAGAAGTTGTGAGCGAATAGGAACGATAGTGGCGAGTTGAATCCATGGAGCAACGCGAAACCCCTAAACTTAGCCTACCAAATGTATCTCTCTACAAGATCAGCCCAACCGTCGTTACGGGTTGTCATAGATGAAGAGTTTAGAAAGAGAAAAAAAAAAAAAAACGAGACTCAGTAGAACAGGACACATCGTCAGATCTCCCCTGACCTTCTACGAGAACATTCTGTGAATGATTACGGTATTATACAATTGTTTCTTGAACACTGAAACCCAATACCGACGTGAACGGGACTTCGGTGATACAGGGTTGCTTACGGGTGACCCAATAAGGCCTAGCGCTGTTTCGGATACGAACCGAGAAACAAAGCGATGTGTGTCCAGAGGGGAAACTGTTTTCGAATTCTACTGTATGCACTGCCCCCAGTGAGCTCGCACTGGGCAGCAGTCCTTGCCAGGCTGCTGGGACGATGGATTCTTACCTTCTCGTGGTGTCCGGTGTTAATCCCCGTTGGGGAGACCAAAGTGAATCCGCCGTGGTTGTGCGGTCCGGCCCGGCGCGGTTGGCGCGGGGCACGACCGCACAACCACACCAAAATCAGGGGATAACGGCATATGAAAACCATCCGATTTCTTCTTACCCGACTCGCACTCGGGCCCGATACTGGTCTTGCATTACCAGTGGAAGTGGTGTCGCCTAAGGAGAAGACAGGACACCCCTGAGCTTGCATACGGTCTGGGATCGCATCGCGCGAGATGCGGCGAGGTGGTAGTGAACCGGTGACACAGGCAGTCAAGCTGATATCGGACAGACCTTGTTCAAGGCCCAGAGGCCTCGTTAAGACTCGAACTCGTTAAGGCTTGGAGACATCGCTCGCTGGAGACCTCGTTAAGGCTCAGCCACGGGCAAGCTTCAGGGCGACTGCTCTTCGGGACACGGGCACCGTCGAGACACGGGCATCCTCTTGGGAGACACACGGGCAACCTGAAAAATATTGGTATTTGATTGGTGGCAGTCGGCGGGACTCGTTAAGGCTTTGCCACGGGCAACCCGTCGATCCTGTTCAGACATCGGGGACCAAGCTTGGTTAGTGGAGAGCAACCGACATATACTGCCGGATGGAGCGTATGGAGGACTTTCTGCAAGACACGGTCGGCCTGACGTAGGGAGACCTCCTCAGGTAACGCGAAACGAGAGTGAAAGCTCTCGCGGGGCGTGGTGTACAATGGCAGCCACTGCGGCAGGGTCGGGGCCTGTCAAGAGACTGTCTGTATAGCCCGAGAGGACGGATGCGCGTGTCGGTGTACAAAAAGCCGGGAGCCAACTACCCCACTCGCACTGGGGGCCTGAGATCGACCTTGGTCGGTTGAAGCGGTGTCGTCCTAGTTGGCTTGCCCGTGATGTATGCTTAAGGAGCAAACTGAGAGACACCCAGGGTGAGAGGTGTGGTGAACCTCAAAAGACCAGAAGCCTCATTTATCGGGTGAAAAATTGGGGTAGTGGTCTATGCAAGTAGACCTGTCGAAGCTACTTAATGTCTTTTGGGGAAGGCAGCGACGTACATGAAACCACGAGACTCCTGGGGCTGTATTCCCGCCCTCAAGGTTGGCGATGTGGAGCTAGTTGACAACGTGGAGAAAGCTCAGGCGTTCATGGACTCGTTTTTCCCATCTATGGCGTCTGCGCAAGAGGAAGCACCCGCCCGCGCCCCAACCGAGATCCGATGGCATCCAATCTCCGAGATTGAAATCTATCGATCTCTCAGGGCTGCCAAAGGCACAACAGCACCAGGCGAGGACGGTCTACCCACGTTGATCTGGAAACGTCTCTGGAAATACCTCGGAAATATCATCACAAGGATTTTCACGTCATCGATTGAACTAGGATACCACCCACGGCGATGGAGAAGCGCGCGAATCATAGTCCTGCGGAAGCCCGGGAAACCAGACTACTCGCTACCTGGAGCTTACCGCCCGATCTCGCTACTCAACACACTCGGCAAGTTATTGGAAGCGGTGATGGCCCGGCGGCTGTCCTTCTTCGCGGAGCACTACGGTCTTCTACCGGATACTCAGTTCGGAGGACGTCCGGGACGAACAACCGAGCAAGCCCTCATAATGCTTGCTAACGCAATTGACCGGGCGTGGTACAGACAGAAGGTCGTCTCACTGGTGGCCTTTGACCTAAAGGGAGCCTTCAATGGGGTGAACAAGACAAGCCTGGACGTCCGCCTCCAGTCCAAGGGTATCCCATCGGTGGCCCGGAAGTGGATTGCGAGCTTCATGAGTGGGCGCCAGGCGAGCATTGGGTTCGACGACTACCAGACCGAGGTGGCGCCGCTAGACAACGCCGGGCTCGCGCAAGGCTCTCCACTCTCACCTATCCTCTTTGCGTTCTTCAACTGCGACCTGGTCGACCAGCCGGTCGATTTTCACGGTGGGGCATCTGCCTTCATCGATGACTACTTCCGCTGGCGAGTTGGCTGGAGCGCTAAAGAGAACCTGGCCAAAATCCAGTCCGAAGACATGCCCCGGATCGAAGCCTGGGCCCGGCGAACTGGGTCCTGCTTCGCCGCAGAGAAGACCGAACTCATTCACATTACTCGCAAGAGGAAAGAACAGAGCCAGGGCCAGCTTGTTATGAATGGCAATACCATCAAACCATCTACGACCGCCAAACTCCTAGGTGTAATCTTCGACCATGAGCTACGGTGGAAGGAACACGTACAGCAAGCCGTCAAACGAGCCACCAAGGTCAACATCGCGCTTGGGGGCTTGCGACAACTCCGTCCAGAGCAAATGCGACAGCTTTACGAAGCGTGCGTCACACCAGTTGTCGACTACGCATCGACCGTCTGGCATGATCCGCTTCGAGACAAGACCCATCTACGACACCTCCGCACCGTACAACGAGCGGCGCTCATCCGCGTCCTATCTGCATTTCGAACGGTGGCAACAACCACACTTGACGTAGAGGCACATGTACTACCAACGCACCTTCGTCTGCGCTACCGTGCACAGAATACCATCACTAGACTGCATACCCTACCCCAAAAACATCCCATATGGAACGCCCTGAATCGAGCCCAGAGAAGACGTAACAATCGTGGATCGTTCGCTCGGTTCCCGCTATCAGAAGCCTTGAAAACCATGAACTTGGAGAGACTACAGGAAATCGAAATGATTGATCCAACCCCACTACCACCTTGGCGAAAAGAAGCCTTCTCGGAAATCGAGATTGAATCAGACAGGGAGATCGCGATAGAAAGGGCCGAGGCTGCACGGTCAACCGCGGACATCGTGGTGTACTCGGATGCCTCGGGAAGAGAAGGCCATCTAGGTGCCGCAGCGGCCGCGCTGAATGACTCACTAGAAACAATCGACAGCATGCAAGTGCAGGTTGGACCCATGGATCGGTGGTCGGTACATGCCGCCGAGCTGATTGGGGTCCTGTACGCTATCAACATCATCAACAAGGTCGCTCTCCGACACTAGAGAACATCCCACTCACGGGTGGGATCTGCCACTATCCTTAGTGACAGCAAGTCGGCCCTGCAAGCAATCCAGAATCCCGGGAACAAGTCGGGACAACAGATCATCCATGCCATTCTACAAGCAGCCAGGAACACCAAGACCCACGGCATGTCGATACGACTACAGTGGACACCCGGACACTGCGAAGTGCCAGGGAACGACGCTGCTGATTTACTGGCCAAGGAGGCAGCTGTGCCGGGAAAAACTCACCCGTTTTGCTGTTTGCTATCACGCGAGAGAGCACACATTAGGCAAGGGATCCACGCCCAATGGAAGAACGAATGGAACGGCTCGAGCACCGGCGCCCATCTGCGTCAGATCGACGACACACTACCGGCCAAGTACACCAGACGGCTCTACGGCTCCCTGCCTAGAAATCGAGCGTACTTATTCACGCAGTTGCGAACCGGACACTGCTGGTTGTCAACATACGCAAAGACTTTCCGATTTCGAGACGACGATCTGTGCGTCTGTGGTGAACGGGAAAGCGTTCACCACGTGTTGTTAGATTGCCCACGATTGAGAGAACTGAGAAGAGAGCTGCGAATTAAGGTTGGCGATGCTTTCAACAGCATATCGACACTGTTGGGTGGACCAGGAGAAGAAGGAAGAGGTAAGATTGACAGTGCATCACGAACCAAGACAGTGGAGGCTGTCTTGGATTTTGTTGAAGCATCGCAACGGTTTCAAAGCCGCGCGCCATAAGGGCAGCATAAACACAACGACGGCATAGAGGCCACGGCAGGCCTCGGCGAGGCTCCAAGTTCGCTTAGGAAGTGGTACACGATACATGTACATAGGAAGATATATATAGTAGCGGTAGGCTGCATATCGTTTCGACAGTTGGATCCCAGGTCACGTGATGTACATAGATCTATAGGAGTGGCTGCCTGTTAGGCAGACACTCCGCTAGGCAGCAGGGAGATGAGCTGCTGCAACTACAAATAGCTGGATCTCTTCATATAGATGAATCATCACACTTGTACCTCAATCCAGGGTTCAACTTCGACGAGGGGTCAGCGTAAATGAATTACACACACACACACATACTGTATGCACTCTACTACTAATTGGCAGCCATCTTAGCCCACAGAAGTCTATAGCACCAAGTAAAATAATAATATAGCTGGCTAATATGTGGGAGTCTAAGATTCGAAAAATGCATACATATGAGGGACGCACTGTCGCTTTGGGAAAAAAGGGTTGATACAAGACCCATTGCAGATTTCGGCCTTAATTCAATGTCCCCTCTTGTAAGAGTAAGACAATGCATTCAGACCCAGCCTTTCTTGCTCCAAAAACCTAATCTGGTAGCGGCCAAGCACAATGAGCAATGAGGGTCATGTGGAGACGCTATATTATATTGCTTGAATAGGGGGCTTTCACTTAGTGTCTAACAGTGCCTTGAATAAAACCATGTGCTTAAAAAACGTGAGATATTCTGTAATGAAATGGTTTGCTCGTAGTCAAATACCTGCAAACCGAGATTGCGAGCCATGATAATGATGACGTTTGCTGTGCGGCCTTCTATAAACTGGGATTCTAGAAACATGGGCTATTGCAGGATATTGTGAGCTGTCTACCGTGGTAGAATCATGTTCATCTTTGACTGACCTGGCTTCCTCCCCGAGTCGGATTTTCTCGGACAAGGGTTAGCAGGAGGACTATGATCAGCTACCTTGCACGCCGTTAGCTCGAAGGCTTTGACGGCAATGGATAAATTAAGCTAGGGAGGTTGAATTACTATAGGATTTCCTTGAGGGTCAGAAGCATTTGGATGTATTGCGAGGCCCGATATCTAGCATCCAGATTAGCGCAATCGCGTTAAATTATTGAAATGGAACACACAAAAGTGGCAACCAAAGCTACAGTTACCCAGATAGCAGTTTTAGAGATCATGTTTTTATAAGATGTCCGAGAGTCGTACTAAGCACCGCGTCAAAACAAAATCGTTGATAGTTTAGTACATCATGGTGCCAGACGTCAAATGCTGTTATTTATATTCAAGGAACCTCATGTCGTGTATCCACAAGATAAATTCGCGTGCTTAATTACAGGAATTACCAAGCAAGGTGTAGCGAGAAGAAGAGGTTAGGAGACAACTTCCAGCCGTTTGAGATAGGGCCCTTTCAAACTTGTACCGGTTCAAAGGTATTTTTCCCAAGTCTCAAGAAAAGGATGGTACTGGTAGCGGGGGAAATCTCCCCATTCAAATCCTTGGTTTGCCTTTTTATTGAGGGATGAGTATGAACAGATGCAATATTTAACGGAAATAATTTGACCGTGAACACTATCAGAAAGATGCATAAATGGAATATCATCCTGGGCTTATATATCAGGCTGACTCCGAAGATGGCATTCTAGTGCAGTTACTCCTTCGTCAGTTGAGATTACCACGATGAGTCTATCAGAGTATATTCCGAAAGACGATAAGTCTTCCTACAGTGGCTGCACCCTAAATTCGGGTGAATCCGATGTTGAGGACATCACCCATTCGGATTTTGAGTCCGAATACATCCCCTCGGAGACGAGCGAGGATCGAGATTTTATCGTATCGGATTCAGAAAGTCTGGCATGTGTTTCAAACGAGCCTTCAGACACCAAAGGCCCAAGCTACACTTTTCTTGATGACGTACTCGGCGATGTTATGACAGTAAGAACTGCATTCCATTCGTATAAGATCGGCGTTGACATAATCTCTTAGGAACAGTGTGTCGAAAGCATCAAACCGCTTAAAGCAATCACCAAAAGGACTGTGAATTATAACGGCCGTCAAGTGGTTCAATACTTGGTTATTTGGTACTCCTGGGAGACTGCAGAAAGTGTTCCACACTGAGAAAATTATCAAAGTTTCTAGACTAAATTTATCCAACTTGTTATACGCGTGCACCTTTTTCTTGACCATGGTAAAATTTGACGCGAATTGAATTGGCCTTCACGTGCCATATTGAAAGTTTACCACGAAGAATCTTATGGATCTGAATTACCCATAGGAATCTATTAAATTAAGGTACGTTGTATTCAGATCTTACACCGTAAGTTCTCCTCTGTAAGCTTACAGACTTCCTACTTGCATTTAAGGTGATAATGCGATACATGGCTTTTTGAAAATCTAGCCTCAAGAAGTGTTTGTTACGTCATCGTTAGTTATAAGCCAAATCTGAAGACTACTGTACATTTCACGAGTTATGACATTCATACAAATCTAAATCATGCAAACCCTTCACTCTTCTTAGCTGTATCCGAGCGTACGTAGTCATGATAGTATCAAAGTTGCGTATGTATACTAAACATGGAAATATTGAGAACCATGCCTGATTCTAAGTATTTCTGGGGTCCAGAAGATCTGTTTAATATATAAATGATGTACAGTATATATATTAGGAGGCTAGCCACCTCAGCTCTCAGGAATGCTAGCGGAGCGGCTTGCCTCTATTTTTCATCCTTCATTGCGTGAAACTCGCTATATAAGCAAACTATAGATACTGTATCCAGCACCAAATTCGATGTTAATTTTCAATAATCACGAGCGTTTGAACCAAATTAAAAATACCATCTCTAGAGCCTGCTTAGGAGGTGGAGCATGAGGGCGGTGGACGTATTGATTTTAATATAGATTTGCAAGTACAGGTTAGATCGAAATCAGTTTCACCACTTACGCACACGGATTTCTTCCAGAACCCTCTTTCGAAACACGCTAATCTCTATTTGACCCAGCTCAAATTCACTGGCCGAAATTTATTAAAAGATATACCCCACGTGACATCCATCCATTGAAAACACTGCCACACTGTGGCCTCTTTCATAACTCGTGTCAAATTTCAAACGACCCAAAAACTGCTTATAGCATGATAGAAAATTCCATGTCGGAATTACCACCAACCTACAGGAACTCGAGCTTTCCATCGGCCTTTTCCATCGTAGGTGGCTGTTTGAGAGTGTTTGACTCTATCTAAAGTCTCCGTTGTGACTTTTTCAGCCCAAGATAGGGGTATGTTCTGATTGTATTGGACCCACAGTCTGGGAAGAAATCTGACGTCTTGCACACAATATTCCATAATGTCATCCGGAAGAGGGCGTACGTCGAACACATCGTAGCTTCCGCCATGTTTAGGGGCAAATAGTTTCAGCCCTTTTTCTTTCGATGCCTGCCAAAGTTGCAATTCATGGGTCGTAAGCAGAGCATCTCGCTGAATGCATTTTGCCAGGCCACTGACATATCTTCTTGGGAACAAGCTGGTTGCTAATTCCATTAGTTGAAGGTCAATGACCCCAGCAAGTTTAACGTTGAAGTGGCTAAATAGTGCATCCGAGTCGTTTCGAACGTCGAAGAAGACCTTAGGAATATTTGGTGATTCCAAAATACTGAGTAGAGTCTGGCCGTTTTCAGAAGCCGTTTGTAGGAAGGCCTTTTCCTGGAGGCTATGTATGTCGACTATATAGGTTTCTTTGTACGGAAGAACATATATTTGTAAGATCGAAATGCTACCGTGCCTTGAGAGATTGATCCCTTCGAGATCAATATATAGAGATGGTGGTTTGGTCGGTAACTTTTGGAGCCTCGCAACAAGTCTCGCAATCTGGCCATCTGTATCAACGAACTCTGGGGATTGGTCGACTTGTAGATTGAGCTTTTCGAGAGAGTTCACGAGAGAGGAATTCTGCATAACTTCTTCAAGAGTGCACCTGCCTGAAGGCTCCATACTTCGGTGGGTGGTGGGTGACGTATCCGTTGCTACGAAGGTTCAGCATAAGCCCGGTATACGAACATCGATTAGTAGATAGCACTCACCTGGCATCAAATGGATACAGCTCGTGAGGTGCTACTGACAATTGAGTTCCAAGCAGACAGTGAGTTAGTCTTTTTCTACGTAGAATGGGTCAGATCACTGGTTTTATGGTCTGACGCCGGGCTGCAAAGCTTCGTTCACCCTATCACCATCGACAACGTGTCATGACATATATTTTGCTGCCCGAAAATTTATGAGAAATATCGAAACATAGCCATGTTACTAGGGACGCGCGGTGTCACATGCAACATCCCTGGAATTTATGAGAAGGGGAAAAGAACGACAAAAGCTGACTAAAGGTATGGTCTTGAATCATTTATATGATCTTGGAATGCAGGCCGGCAAGGTAAAAAAAGGTTTAGCCGCAGTACTTCCTTTCCATTTTAACCCATTGTTCAAGGCCGGCGGCGGCTTTGAGAGGAGCCACCATGCTCGAGGAACCCCGAGATACATTACGTGAAAAGTCCAACACCCAGCGCATCCCACAGATATTTCGCACAGATATTTCGCGCAGGCATTTCTTATCGGTTTGATCTATTCGCAGGATGAGCGCTTTTGAAGCAAGTCAACCCAAAATATTCCATACAAATACGATTCTTACCTTTTTGTTTACCGCTGTACTGGAATACCGCCAAGAATGGGGTGAGGGGTAGAGTAACTATTCTAGGTCTAGTGTGGTTTTGGAGAAGGGTTTGGGAAAAGAAAATCTGTGTGTGTGCGGTGAAACTGATTTCGATCCTCCCTGTACTACGTAATCTATGTAGAAGCAATACACCCACAACCGACAGGGTTGAAACGGAGGGACTCGCAATATAAACTAGTGTATCTTGGTGTTGGGGCTCCAGAATTAATTAAAGAGTGCTTGGTCATCGCACCAGTTTCGGGACGGGCTGTAGTAGTCCTACCACTGCAGAAAAGAGAAAAGGACCTGTCCAAAACATTCGTCGCCTTACCAAGCTAGTTTTCTGTTTGAAAATCCGCTTCAACAGCAATCCATTTCTTCAGCAGCAAGTGAATGAACTCCCTGACATTATCCGGTGTGGCTCAGCCCTATAGGTAAAGCACCATTTAGAGTATAAATATTGAGGCATTGTGTTTTCATTTGTAAGGAACGAGGGCACCATGTTTATAAAGGCGGATGCAGTGCTGTGAGGATTGACAGGTCGGTCGACCAGGTCGGAGTTGAAGAACGCGAACAAGAGAAGGGGGAGAAGCGAGCCCTGCGCTAGTCTTGCGTTCGCCGTATAATCCTCTGGTGTAGATGGCCGGTGGTGTGTTATCGATTCCCCGTAGGTGACTGTGGTGGATTCCCATTCTTGTTTCCACTGAGTGATAATCGTGCTTCGGATCATTGCTTTCTTCCTCGTGAGTCGCGAATTAGGCAATCATTCCTGTCAAGGTGCAGGATGATACTGCCTTTTTACCCTATAAGCATGTGACTTTTTCGCTATGCAGTTTGCTTACTATTGTGTCTAACCAAATTGTTAAATAACTACAGACCATTGTTGTTTTTAGTTAGTTAGAGAACTTTACCATCGTGAATTTACCAGTACGCTCGCCATACTACTGATTTCTGCCAAGTTCTTCAATATATATAAACTTTTCAATACACCACTCTCCCTCAATTTGCTACCTTCCCTTTGTCAACTCGTTTTTCCTTTAGGCTTTTACACAAGTTTTACCTAGTCTCATTGCTGTTGTTGTCTACTCAAAGAGACTCCCTCAACTTATCTAGCAGGTGTATCTAGTTCGTTCATACATTTGTCGTCTGAATAACCCTTGAAACAGTTTATTAACAAGTTGCATGGGGGAGTGTGTGGATCAATTAATTTCCAGGCAAACGTTCATTTCCACACCATGCAATTGTCTACAGTACAATTATGGCTTGCTGATACACAGTGTCCTAGCACTAAGCGGCACATTTGTCGTTCGGGTCAGAATGGAATTTTGAGATTCAGCGGGCAACCCCCGGCGGCCGCCCCCACCAAATGAAACAGACTACAAATTCGCACAGGTTCCTTGATAAACTTTTTCATCCAAGTAGAGTACGTAGATGGCCCGAGTAGTTCCCCTTCAGGGCGTATTTACCACAACCCTCACATAATCTGTTCATCGACTAAGTGAGCACCCTCCAATTACCGAGGATCAAATTACTATAGAAGAAAAATGGCTTCTATTGTCGGAAGAGCTCCAAGGTCATCCCCAAAGGATTGCTCTGCCCCTCTGCAAGCGGCGCAACTAGATATGATGATTTCTTGTTGAATTGAAGTGCCTATATCGGTGCTAGAAATGGAAGCGTATTGATTTTGTATTTAATTCGCATCCATGCTATAATGTAACTATATAAATTCAGCCTACTCCACGGGATCACAGGATCTACCAGCAAAATAAACAAGAATGGTTCACTATATCCACCTCTATGGTAGACAGCATGGGATTACCACAGATACTGCACACCGAAATATTCGACTTCTAGAGCAGGCAATCAACAACAAATTTGGGGAGAATGCTCAGTGCCACGGTATCTGCTATCACCAGGATCGCATACGACCCCACCCATCCTGGATCCGAAGGGAACTCGTCTATGCATGTGCAGGGGAGAAGGGAAACAACCTTTTGAACGAGGTATGGTACAACACATGGATATTCCGCATCAATCTGACGATTGAAGGCAATTTGGATGAACGGACCTCACGGGCGCTGCTAGGGTTACATATGAAGGTGGTGAGGATCCAATTTACGGAAAGGGGTCCCAATGAAACTATAAAGCGTATGCGCCACTTGAGAGACGAGATCCCATGGCTAGCTGATGGGTCAGTAAAGTTGAGCGATACGGGCGACAGTCGATACTTCGGAAGACGATTCGAGATTGGAAGGGACATATGATAGAAGAACACAGGAAAGAAGGGAGGGGTGCCACTATACATGTTCAATAGAAATGATTGGTTCACCACTTCAGATTTCATGAAGATATAACTAGAGCTCGCTACGTTTACAGTACTTTCGGAAATCGGTGTCACCACCTACGCTCTCTTATTCTTTTTCTGGCCCCCATGCCGAGATGAGCTAAACCATTCCAAGTAGGATCTAAAGGAATACCGGATTATTGTGTTATTCTCGCCCATGTTCATTACCTGTCAGCGCTAGAGAGTGCTATTTCATTCCGAAACCCTGGCGACAACCGTCACATCCACCTTGTTGGAATTAACTCCGAGGTGCCTATATGGACGACCAAGTTGATTGGAAATCAGCTTGGCTCATTGTTGTATATATAGGCTCATGTATACCTCTGAAATAACAAGCAATCAATACCTCTGAACTACAACACTATTTAACCCAAGTCCGTTAAATAGCTTCAAGCTCTCCGCAACATAATTGCAAAAGATTTATTACATGATTTTGAACCCACAATCTGCTGAGCAGCAAATGCTTAAGTGTTGTATAATATTTGATAACGAGAAACCTTCGTCAATATCATTTGTGCTGACCTCTCGGGAGCATTCTCCATCACCACTACTTTGCAGGCCGTCGAAGATGCTGGTCATAGTGAATAAAGCTAAAGATATTCGCCAAAGCCCCCTGATTCCCCCACTTTAGGTCTTTAATGAACGGGTATAAGAATGGAAGAGAAGGCTCTATATGGAGTTTAAGCCTATATAGACGGAAATTTCCTGAGGCGTCAATAAACTCAGCAAGAGCCGTGTCACTTCCAGTGCCTGCTTTTGCCATTCCAGCAAGAACAGCGGAAAGGCAAAAGTAATTCCGGAGGTGATGGAGTTCCTGGCCCGAGTCAGTCAGAACTATCGAAGATGAACAGGGTGTGTACCTTTGCTAGTACCATGAGATTCCCATCGAAGTCCCTGGTGGATGCAACATCTTCCACATCGTAGTATAGCTTGTTCCATCGTGAAGCCAAGTAACGGAGGTGTTGATCATTCTCGTATATACTCTGCAGACTGATTTTGCGAAACTCAGCAAATGTATCTCGGCTTAAGTCCCAAGCTATTCTCGCACCACTATTCTCACTTAGAATAATGAGGAAGTCTGTATTGGTCTCGAATTCCCGGCCCTGCGCTATATCGGTACCTGTTCGGAAGCGTTTATAGCGATTTTTAAGGACGCTCAATCGCCGGAATACATGTTTATCCGGCTGAGAAAGCATAACCTTAAGGGGGGTAGTAATGACAGAAAAATCAAGATTGAATGTACCGTAAATCTCATCATTCTCGAAGGACTTGATGGCATGTGTGATCGTATTATATAGAAAACGATCGCTTGGTCGGACTTTCTATTAGTTTTGTTAACATGTCGCACTGAAGCCACAGAAAATCATTAATGGGCAAGCAGACCTTTGCCACAGTATGGTACTTCTCTAATTCTCCGGGAGTTTGACATAGAAAGGAGAATAAGGAAAAGCCAAGCCTGTGGTGATAAGATTCAAAAAGACTAATGGTTGCTGAGGGCATTCCCATCACGTGCTCAACCCATTGTTCAAGGCGGAGATCTCTGAATAAACTCCAATTTTCTCGAAGAAGTTGCATCGCCAACCTTCCTGCATCCTCGTCTGTTGAGATCAACTTCCAAGCCATTTCTCTGTCGTCGTCGCAATCTCCAATTCGTGTATCAGGAAGGGTGGTCGGCTCTGACCCGCAGTCTATATTTTCGCTGTCCTCGACCAGGCCACATCGGGAATTCTCTTGCTCCACCGACCAAGGAAATTGGAAAGTGGAACATCTTGGAATGAGGGATGGATAGGTGAGATCTTCCATCGCAACCTTTGAATTCTTACCAATTGTGCATCAATAAAGGCCAGTATGTTGTTCGGAATAAGCACACGAGCGGATTGTACCAGGCTGTGGGGTTTAGAGGTTGTACAAGGGTGCACAAGGTAAGGTATGAAATACGGCGCTCAGCACTTTTATAGTTTTATTATTTTCCTTGAAGGTTTTCTGTAGAGCTAAAGTTTCTGCGGATGATCACGTCGTTGGACGTGATGGTGCCGGATGCCATGAATGGAACGTTCATGTCGATGGAGTTGAAAGCGAAAATAAACACTAGTCCCACCTTTATAGACAATTGGCGCTCGCACAGGGATCGTTGATTCTGGTCAAACGAGATAAGACTATGTTCATCTAAGCTTGGATTTGATTAAACATCACGGCACGGCGAAATTATTCTCCATTGTTGACTGGTTAATCTACAGCAGCATCCCATTGGCTCCTTGAAAACTAAAGAAGAGCTCAGAGTGGCAAAGGAAGCCCTCCAAAATACCGGTCGGCGGCCGTGGTGAAATAAGTTGGACAAAAGGCTCAAATTGTTACATACACACACAATTCATTAACGCCCGGCGGCTAAAACCGAAAAGGCAACTATCACTGGTCTATACATACTCGAACTGTTCAGTACTTCCGGAAATAGGTGTCACCACCTACGCTCTTTGATTGTTTTTCTGGCCCCGAACGCCGAGATGAGCTAAACCATTCCAAGCAGAATCCAATGATACCACCGGTTTAGGTCTTGTAGCTTAGGGACACCGAATTATTTTATTATTCTCGCCCGTGTTTATTACCTGTCAGGGCTAAAGAGTGATACATACCACAGTGCCCCTCCATCATTCCGAAGACTGTCTCAACATTCCAAGAATATCGCATTCGTTGAACTTTTCCCAAGACTCGGAACTAAGTTTGCTCCTTTGATAGGGCGTGGGTTCAACCATCCATCTTGCGCTTGGTCCCTCTCGTCCAGGCTATCAATAAGAACCAAATCGATATCCTCAGTGTACCCAAATTGTATATCGTGTGGCAACTCTTTCTCGGTGGATTCAATTTGATAGTAGTGATTCTTCTCGGCCACCATGAAAATCTTGGCGCTTTCGTCGCGGGCAACGCAAATTTCTTTTTGCAAATTCTTATCCTGCGCTATTTTCTTGGGATAATTTTCGGCCTGCATTCGTTCAAGGGAGGTCTCGGGGGAGTTCGGATCAGATATTTCACCAAGAAAGACCGATATATTATCGTCGTCGTCAAACTTGAAAATTTGACCGGGTTGAGATAGATATGGCAGAAGATGGTGGATTTGCTTGTCTCCGGATGGTGGCATTTGCAAAGTATTCCGCATTATAGCGGTAAGGCGAAGGATTCCTATCAGAGCTGATAGTTCTAGCAAGGTGTTTAAGAAGCCTCAATTCTTGACATTCCCCCTATAGTAGATTTAGTATATCAATACTAATATATAATAGGCTCACTATAGTTGAATTTATATAATAAAAGGGCTTTATGAGGGTTGAGTATAGTGTTGATGTTTCAAACATGAAAGAAATCTTTTTGATTCCATACTAGTTTTTTGGGGGGGGAGGGGAGGGGGGTTGGACTCTCCAAATAAATGAGGGCGGATCTACGATTGGAGGGCGGCCCGCATAATTCGAGGGCTAATTCGAGGGTCCCTATAAATAAATGGGTCATAATGATATACATTACATTGATCGATTGAGGAAGCGGGCCTAATTCGAAAGGAACATCTGAATTGGTTTGTTAGTTAGCATAAGTAAATTCTTTAGTACAAAGTAGGTCCCATCCACCTATACCTATCGTCTAGTTCCCCACAGTACGAAAGATCATTCAGTTAATAATGTCCCATTTATCTCTATATTCGGATGCCTGCCCGTCATCTCTATATGAGGGGGATACGATTGACAGTCTCTCCTTTCCGAATGACCAATTCCATACTCCTGATATCTTGAAAAGCCAGCAAGTAAGTGAATTAGTATCCGGCTTCGGGTTCGGTTTCTTGCGCCAATTGCCACTCCCCCCTTCTTCGGTTCCTCCCTCACTCGAGCGTGTTGGTCCTGGCCGATATATCGAATTCATTCTATACTCCGATATATTAAAGGAGACTTGTCTCTTGGTGGTGAGAGACTGAGTATGTGCGCAAGAAACGGCTTATCTTATTGAGGGCGGCAAAAGACCGGCCCGACCCGCGGGCGGGTACGAGGTCTATTTGATAACACCTACTGACTTTGAGTTTAGTAGTACAGTAGAATTCGTAATTAGTTTTAACACTAAACTCTTGCGATTTGATTCCCGAACCCTAAGTGGAGACACACTAATCTAATTGTAGCTCTACCAGCGGGTAATATATGGAAAGCTGTATTGTGTTCACAATGAGTCATTGTTATCGTACCGTAATTTGTCGTAGAAACAGCTGGAATTCTTTGTGCAAACAGACCAGAGGGGTGATCCCAGCTAAATTATTACGTACTGGGTTGAGTGCGTCGTATCGACAAGGCCAGTGTTGTTTATTTTTGACAAAAGGGACACTAAGGGGAACTGGTTGGACAGATATCCTCAGCTTGCGGTACGTAAACGTGCGACTAGGCAGCTTGATGAGCGGACATCTCACGCCCATAACTTCCAAAATGTCGCTAAAATACGTTTTGCCTTGTATGTGGTCATGTCTGGGCAATTACCGATTATCAAAATACCGTTGCGGGGTCTATACAGTACCGAACACCGAGTGTGTTGGGATTATTATTTGATTGGGGATTACATTGACCAATAATCATGGGTTTCTAGCACACTCTCTGATCAGTGTGATGCGTGCCCTCAGGATGCAAACCTGTTGAAGAAGCCGGCCCCATGCTGGTATCTCGGCTGCGCTAGGCGGTACAGTGTCTGTATGCTTCTAGGACAATGATCCGATGACAAAGGGAAATAGTCCAGCCTGTGTCCATCAACCCTTGTATCAGGGGCATAGTCTCGGGATACTTCAAATAGTTATTCGGTAGAGTTGGTCTGTTCCAGTGCAACACAAAGAAATCCATTATTGTTGAAAAAGAAAGACATTTTATGTACTCAAGCCCATGCTTAGGAGCTCAGTAATTGAAATAGTAGGGGTGACCATACGGCATCATTGCCTCTGTTAATTCATTTTCTGTCCAGGTATGGGTACGGACACGTGCACCTCGGGGCAAATTTGGGGTACCGTGAAACTCCGAGGTCGGTGCAATGTCAGACATGCCAGGGTATGGATAGTGCGCCATGCCGACGGGCGGCGCCCAGCCAATCGAATGTGCCGGAGCATATAGCCATTTCTGTTTTTCGCTCAGTTGCAACGGTGATGTCGGAATGTTTGTCCAGAGGCCAGCAGAATGGTAATGGGTCTTTGGGTCAAAGTGCATTGCTAGATTATAAGGGTTCGAAGTATTGTAAGCGGGCGCGCTTAGCAAGTCCGTAGGGGTGACTTGGGTTATATCGATGTGGGAGATTCCCTCGCTACACTCGGTCTCGACGATATTCTGAGAGGAGACTGGTTCGGTTGGCGAGCCTTGTCCGCTGGGTGTGTCTTCTGCCATTTGAGGGAGATTTGTGCAAGCTATAGACAAGTATTCTCCATCTAGATTATACATGTGAGTCTCGGAGGGTGTAGAAGATGATGTGGACAAATATGTACCTGAGATCCCATCGAGGAATCTTTCCTCCTCCTCGCGCACTCGATAAGCCTCATCCAAGGTTTCTAACCGCTCGACCGGAAGGATCTGACGCCGAATGGACGGATCGCATTGTTTCAATCTCGCCGCTGTGACTCCGTGGGTTTCACGCATGTCGCAGAGCATGTGTACCAAAAGTCGAATGCGTTCTAATCGTTTCAGCTTGGTACCATATGCGGAATGATTGTATTTGCTTACCAATTTTTGGAAGATGGTCCGGCTCCCGATGGCTCACTCCTCGCGGCCACCACGGTGGCTTAGTCTCCTCTGGATCAAGCTGTTGGGTTCTTCCTTCAATAACCTTCCGTCCATTGTATGGATAGTTAACCTGCTTGCGCACCTCGATTAATTTGATGTAGGCTTTGGCAATAATTCGGCAATTTGTTTGTTGTAGTGTTTGGAATATTTTCTCGTAGTAGCGACGCAAAAGACATCTGTCTTTTATAGAGATTAGAACCCTTTGGTGAGAGGCCAAGTTAAGGGTTCGACCGCCAAAATTCTTCTTGGACTGTGAACCAGCCTGTAGAGGCCAAGGTTCGCGTGACGGCCACATTGCCGGCTGGAACGGGGGCTCTGGTTGAGATAGAAACAGAACCTGTGTCCTCTGTGGACTACCCAGCTCCATTCCGCTATAAATCGCGGACTGCTCCTGCGATGGGGCAGAGCTGTTGTTCAATTTTTGCCTATTAGACGGAACTAAGATCCCTAGAGGAACTATTCTAGGTCAATAAAACACTTCAGGTGCGGTTAATTGAGACAGTTACCTTGGCACCGTGTTGTGTGGGTTTCTTTCGACATTGCCACCGCTTGGAGAAATCTACCGGTAACGCTAGGAGAGAGGATGGAACGCAAGCTCTCTGAAATGGAATCGGAAGCTCTTTGGCAAAGATTCCCGTTGCTATCTATGTACAGCATAGCAAAGTGGGCATATTCGGGTTCCTCTGGTGATGTCCTAGACATATTTTCCCTGCTAGTGTTAACTCAGTCAAGGGCATCGAACTGAATGGACGCGACGGCAGGCCCGGTTTTGAATGTACGGTTGGCAAACTTGTCAAGTCAAGGAGGAGCGGACGGAGTGGAGAATTTTCCACATGAAATTGGCGGGAGAAACCAACTGAATACCATGCTGCGATGGGACCACACGATAGTACTACCTCTCATCGACTGTCGATCGGTGGCCAACAAAACAATGTGCCTGATAACGATGTATCAAAGCCACTGTGTTTATTCAGCTGTGGCGCAGTAACTAATATGCATCGAACTATTGCGCCACAGGTGGATTCAGCTTACTAGAGAAGGATCGATCCCCACCAGGATGCGGATCAGTTATCGCACACACTACGGAGTATTTTACGTAGAGCAAACCTATCAACTTTTAATTCGGAGGGCAGACTTGCTCACTGTCATTGGCCTATTTATATTATTATTGGCCTATCGTAATGTTTGTGTATAGCCACAGGAGGGGGTTGGGAAATCTTCGGAGAAACACGAGGCAATGATCAACGACACGCCATCGCTATAGGGGCTTTCCACACCAATATCTCAGCCCAGTTCCGCTGGAACATGCCCCCTAGAACCTGCCCCTGGTTGTCTTACTGCAGTATATATCATAGTACGAAGTACATATAATGGCGCTGCATTAAGAAATATAGGGTCTGGTTACTGCATGATATGAATAATACCCACACCCAAGGACCTTGTGTCAACCGGTTACCTTATTCTCCTCAATCCTCAATGTTCTGGATGTTGCATCTGTATGTATAAATCCTGACCTTGTTTATCCTCGCAATTAGAACCACTGTTAATTGAATGATGCATGCTTCGTAGATGCCACTAAACGATTGTTGACAAATCACCAAGCAAAACCCGTACTATTTACCTTCTACCGGCCGGGCGGGTTTAATCGGAAGTATTCCTTGACATCGAGCCAAATCGCTGTCAGCCAGGTCATTGCACAAGCCTATAATCCATTCGCCTAGAGCGCATATCTGGCCAGCATTTCCTGGAAATGGGTTCCCGTCCCCTACACGATTGTGGCGCCCGGATGACGCTCATCGTGATCCACAGTTCCCCCTTCTAGCGTTCTGCATATTCGCGCCACACACTGCATATACACATATGTTTTCTTGTTTATGCTTGCCCAATTACAACATTTTTAGAGCTGCGCAGTATTTGTCACTGGTTTCCTTTATCCCTTGCGGCTCGTACATGCTGCACCCACATGACTTTGTGCTGGAGACCGCCAGAGTCACCGACTGGTATAAACAAAGATGATCGTCCAGCAATATACCCTTTCTTGAGAGTTTACCTGATGTGTCGCTTGGTTGTTATTAACATGTCGAGTTAAGGATTTCCAACCCGCTCTCATATACGTATGAACTGTGTGTCCCATACCCCACATGTGATTTTTGGATACTGATCGCCAGGCTACATGTGCCAAGTATACTTACATTCTTGGATCTATGTATTCAAGTTATACCTGCGTGCACACCTCCAAATTGCTGCTAGTTTGTGCGAATATTTATAATCGTAGCCTGGCTGCATTCTGCTTCTTCGGCCATTTTAGATCTGCCAAGTGACTGGCTCTCTATCATGTCGCGGATGAGATGCAGCGTGGATGGTGGAAGTCTCGGAGCCACTTTTTGAGGTCAAGTATGACATTCTAGAGGGATGAACGGGTGAAGATGCCTCCTGCTTGAGGTGGATGGCAGAGAATTACCATTATATGGCATTTACGAGTAAGATACACAAGGCATGGTCCCACCTTCGTCATGTAAATTACAATGTCTATTCTTAGAAATCGTGGATCGACAACTGTTCCAAACGTGAATCAAATCGCAAGAGTGTGGAGTTAAAACAGTTTTCGAATTCTACTGTGCCATACCCCTTAAACATTGCTTTGGCCATGCTTAGTATTATCTTTTTAAAATAATTGCAGGGCCTTGTGGACAGCTTGAACGGCGCCACTGATATTGACAGATCACTTGAAGCCTTCTTCGGGGACAGTAGGAATAGCTACCTTGGAATCAATCCAGATATTTCATATGGGGACGCACCAGAACCATCACGTGAAGCACCACGTACCACGTATAATTGCATCTGACAGAAATCAGGTGTATGGCGAGCGTACTGGTAAATTCCCACGATGGTAAAGTTCTCTTCCGAACCGAATTGATATCGTACCGGGTGGGGCCATCTGGCGAGTAGGTGTTATGCTTGTCGCCTTTGCCTTCTTCGCCTCAGTGCTAATGCCCTTTTCAAATCCTTTTACATTCTATGAGCAGAATATGAGTAACTATACAGTTTCAATATTGAGTAAACCGACAAACTATGGCTAAAAACAGTGACCAACCCGTAATGAACACAATGTGCATGAGCAAAATCATCAGGAAGCCGCCCAAATGCTCCACCTTTTCATTAGCATAATGCCTAGTTTAATGGTCTCTGAGTTAGTCTTCTCCACGAGGTCTTTTTTCAAACTATCCGGAATACACTTTGCCACCAGAGGAAGGGCACGAATAATCCCACTATACCTCGGGTGCTTCTCCGAGAGACCTTCCAATAACGAGTCCTGCGTTCCATAGTTTGGGAGATCCATTTGCTCTCGGAGATGCTGCTGTAGTACTTGTAGCTGCCTTTTCATGCGGTTTTTTGCATTGCCATGAGAGTCATTATGGAATACGGCCTTTGAACGAGCTTTGGCTACCGCGTTGCGACCTCTGGGCCTGTTGAGGTAACAAAGTGCGATTGGAGATGATCCTGTCGTAGTTGAATTGACCTGCTCGTGGGCACCGTGTGGGTGTTGCATTTTTCTATTATCTGAATGTATATCCTTGCTCTGGCTTAGTTGGAGGAAATAAAGCACCTCCTTGCTAAATTCCGCAACTGTCAAGGCCTGCAGCCCAACCTCATCCACGTCCACGTGTCCCATGGGGCCGTATACGGTGCCATATTGTTTCCGTGATGGGTGTAGCGACAAAGAATAGTCATCACAACGAAACAATGATTGCATTGGGTCAGTCACATTGGCCGCTGCAAGAGGTGTGTTAGAGTGATGAAGGCTTTGGGATGGCTCGTAGTCTGCTGGAGAAGAGGTCGGAGATGTCTGGCTTCGGGTAGTGCCCTCCATTGGAGGTAGGATGATAGGGGAGTAACCAAGGCTCAAGGTCCTCCTATAGGTAAATTCAAATAGTGTGCCTACTAGTGATTTACATGATTTATACGTTAGGCTAGCGTTCTGTGGGTATCTATTTAATCTCTTTTTTGCTAACCAGCCAAAGGAGTTGGTTTGTCGGCAGACCAACCCCATAAATGGTTGCCTTGTCCAGATAGTTTAATGAGGGACTAGTTTACAAGGGCCCAGCTTTTAAAAGGGTTCAGCGAAATTTTTGTAGCGTCGTCAAGTAATAAACACAATGATCACAGAAAAACACCTCCATGATTTCTTGGCCCATGTTTTCTAGTCGTTCAATTTGACATGGCAGCTACATTTTGATGGATTCTCTGGATTCCCATGCATTCATATAACGTCGCGTTTCTACAAAAACCGTCAACTGCCTTAGAGCCGACCAATGTTATTAAAACCATCCTATGTTATCTACTTTCGGAAAAACATGTCATACAGTACGTCCCGAAACTGGTGCAACCACGACACTCTTCGATTGACTTTCCTGCCTCTTATGCCAAGACACACTAGTCTGTCTGCATTTGGAGTCCTTCCGACAGTTGCATGTGTATTTCTTCGTACGTATGATACATATTATTTCCTGGCGTGTATTTGCTTCTAGTTTCAATATATCTCACACCTCCATGCCCCTCCCCCGATGCCACTTTTCCTCGGGAGGCGCACTTAATAATCTATCACGAGTGGTCTAACCAAAATTGGCTCCAAACCTAGCCCCTTCCGAGCCAGAGCTTATCTGTGACATGATCCACAGTGACGAACTATCTATAATTAAGATGGCACAGGCCGCTGGTTGCAACAAGAGCACCATCTCTATGATCTCTTCCAATTAAGCAGGTTTGGCAGCGTCAAGTCACCGCCAATCAAAGGCGGACGACCCGTAGTATCACTGCAGTCATGCTCGAGGCTTTATGCGATCATGTGATTGAAAAGCCTGCCTTATATCTGGACGAGATGGTGATCTTTTTGTGGGACGAATTCGCTCTTGAAACAACGAAATCGAGCGTCAGTCGCGCCCTTGGGTCCAAAGAGTGGTCAAAAAAGACTGCTGGGGTTAAGGCACAAGAACGCAACCTTGACCTTCGGGACGAATAAAATCTTTCTATCTCAGACTTCAAGTCTTACCACCTTGTTTGTCTATGTCGATGAATCTGGATGTGATAAAAGGATGGGCTTCCGGCGAATGGGTTGGTCCCCCCTTGGTACTGCACCGGTTCAAGTGTCGAAATTTCATCGTGATCAGCGTTATCAGATTCTGTCTGCGTATGCACAAGACGCATTGTTTTGTCTCAAGTGTTCCAGGGTTCAACTGACGCATCCGTCTTTGAGGATTTTATCGAGCAACTTCTCCAGCACCGTGGGAAATGGCCCGAGCCGAAGTCTGCGCTGGTGATGGATAACGCATCCTTTCATCACTCGGACAGGATTAAACAGATGTGCTCAGAAGCTGGCGTAAAAGCTAGTGTATTTGCCTCCATATTCTCCTGATTTGAATTCTATCGAGGAATATTTTGCTGAGCTGAAGGCCTTTATCCGGCGTAATTGGGAATCTTACGAAGAAATCCCAGCGCAAGGATTCGATAACTTCTTCGAATGGTGCGTTGACGTTGTTGGTGCGAGGGAGAAAAGCGCGGAGAGACATTTTCGGCACGCTGGCCTAGCTGTAGAGATACAGCGCTCTTGCCAAGATTCCGCATCCTCCTCGCCACGCGTTCTAGCTGCTGCTCTGTCGAATTTCTGACACACTTCACAGCGGTGGCAGTCGCGTATAAGACATTTCTGTCGTAGAACAGGTACACGCCGCCTCGTTCCTCTCGGTGTTGCGCTCTTCGGCGACGATAACGACATGGGCTTTGCTTGTGGTGTCCGACTGATGATGAAGTCCAAAACCCCCTCTAGGGAGTACTGGGCGGAGCGAAGTTCATTATACGAGTGCAACAATAGGATCGATAACATTTCTAAATTGCTAATAGCCCTTAAGCCATGGTACCAACACCCCTAAGCCCCAGGTCAACGGACGACTCAAGGTTGATATGTCACTAGCGAAATCTGCTTCCTCCCTAATAACTGTTCTTGTTTCTCGGGACCCACTGCCAAGGCCTTAGCGTAGATCATTCATTGACCTAGATATTCTAAGTTGAGAAGGGAGGAAGGGGCCTATTCGTTATATAATCCAATACTATGGACTTAGTAATAGTGGATTTTGATCCACAAAATCCAAATACGGACATAGTTTTCGGCTCGGAAATATGTTTTTACGGTTCAGGAGCCTTTCCTACCCTCTGGAGTTGCTTATAGCTTTTGTTCCTTGACTTTCAGATTCAGTACTCTTGTTACCCTTCACACCAAGAATCTGAGCTCTCAACAGAAGGTGCCCTGCAATGACCACATCTCATCCCGATTTCAAGTGCGTGATCATCGATACTGTGTTGGGCGGCGTTTCGATATCCCACAACACCAACCGATCACTGCATTCCATACTTTACCACAACTGGCAAGCTCTATTATACGGCTCACCCGTTGAGGGAGCTTGTATTTTTTCGCAAGGCATATTCACGCTTCTCTGCCAACCAAATGTGATATACAAAATCTCCAAGGACATACTGGACCGCTGGAAAAATGTCAAAAATGGAGTTGCTGTCTGCAGAGATCGACAGCTAGATCTTCTTGTTATACCACCACAGACCTTGCTAAATGTGTTTGTCCAAGGTGCGCCTCACTTTGTGATCGCGGAGCACCGTCTTCCCCTGAGTCATAATTTCTGTTTGCAACGTGATCTATACCAATCTCTAGGCGACAAGCTCAACCCAGTCCTCACCCAACTTGTGATATTTATCATAGAGGCTGGGTTCCGAGATGTGGACTTTCGCAACATTCCTATACTCGATAAAAGACTTGACTATGAAACAAAGCCACGCATTGCTCTTATCGATTTAGAAAATTGCGTTGGAAAGCATGAATCCCGGCCACGCCATGTCTTTAACCTGGCTTTTTCGGGCAATGACCGTTCTATTTGCGGACTTCTCCGTTGCATCACGCCCCCAAATTTCAGGACTGTTCGGACTGCCACTGAGAATGAGGGTGTTGATTTAGAAAAGATGTTTGGTGATGGTTGCTATTTACGCGCACTGAATAACCGTACCGCCGAGTTGGGGCTCGACAACATGCACAGGAAAATTATCGCCACCAGCAAAACATATAACAAGTATATCAGACTCATGATTGACTCCCTCAGTGGTTTCGGGGTCTTTGCGACAAAATGTGAAATACACTCTTGCCCACTCTCACGTGATAAGCAATTAGGCCCTGGCTGTGCTCCGCGTTCTTTCAAAACGTTCGTCACTGTTTCTAATGTACGATCGACCATGAGCGGAGTCATTGTGCTAGATGCAAACTCCAACTTGTTGGCACTTGGAGTTCTTATTGAGGGAACTGAATTCAGTCCAGATCAAGAGCTGCTGGTAAAGTGTTTTGAAGACTACCTCATCGTTAACGTCGATGATTTCTCGTTTTATGAAAAGACAGCCCTATTTTCCTTTACATTTTTACTTTCATCTTCTTTCGATCACCTTGGGATGTTTTATGACTTACAATTTCCTACCTTGAGGAGGCGTTTTCTAAATGCGGATTAGCATACTGCGTCTTGGTTGCTATCTCTTGTTCTGAAACTGTTCTACTTTGATATTTGCCTGAATTCAGCACTTAACCCCTTTCTGTTTGATGCTAGAGCACGTTGATATAATCTCCTTTCGTATGGTGCAATACTGTCAGACAACTAGTAAATGATGTAGACTTATGTCGCAAATGGATCCCGAGAAATTAATTATAGGCAAGGAGTTCCGCAGGTCAGAGTACTTGACTGCGAAATGAAGGAATCTATCTTCATAATACTTTCAAACGATTGGCTTCAACCTTGTATAGAGTGGATAGCGAGAACAGCAGTATAAATAGCAAACATTGCAATTACTAATCTGGCGCTAATCGCCTCACATCCAGGGCATCGACACTGTAATCTAACGGCAAAGGAAAATTCAGATCGTCAACGTAGGAACGACAACAGCTAATCGGAATATCTCTGAACGAAGAGTATTCGGAGTTTGAGGGAATTCGGATTCGGCCCGGGGCCTTTCTTCCTTTTCATCGGGTGTTTCTGAGACACCGGCATATGGGTGGTGGGTGCCCTGGTAGTTGTTGTCGGGGGCTACATGCGGCTTCGAGGGAGCCTGGTCTGATCTAACTGCAAGGCAGTATACCGTAAAGTAAAGGGCAGCAATTACTATGATCTCAATGATGCACGAGAAGTTTTCCTGCGTCAGACCTATAGCCCATAGGATCAGGGATCGGGAACCGTAATAGCTCAAAACTCCAGATATGGAGTGTATCAATAAGGCCTTGAGGACCTGGTGGACGATTGGAGCGGCTTCAGCAAGATCTTGGAATATCTGCTGCATCTGCCGTAGGATGTGAATTTGGTTGGGCAGATGGGTGATCAGAGGTGTAGAAAAAAAAAGAGGCGGATGACTAGGACGATGGAAGCAGTGTAGGCGAATATGAATATGAACAAAAAAATGCACAAGTCATATAACACGGCGAGCACGTCATTAATGATGCCACCTTTAAACAGCCTGCCGGCAAGTTGGAGCTTCACTGGGCCCAGTTCACAGTGTAAAAGCCAGGTGGTCGACACTAGCTCGATCAATGACCAAGACCACAAGATTGCGTGCACAGCTGTGTGAAAGATCACGTAAATTAGACAACGCCAGTGTCCACATACACATTGGGCCGGGACGCTTGGATCAAAAACTCTTCTCAGTTTGGGAGATTGCTCCAGAAGAAAGGAATGCGAGGCGGATGTGATATCCGGCTCGGCTGCTATTGGCGAGAGCTGGCGTACGCGATCGCAGAGATTACCAGTTACAGCAGGGGTTGATGTAATTTTTCTGTGCTCGTTTCTTTTCCTGGATCCGCTCTCTTTGCCCTCGTTATCAACATAGTCTTGGATGAGGTGAGCGGCAGACAAGACAGATCCCTCCACCAGTACACGGCGAGGCCAGCCTCCACGGACTTCAAACGTAGTCACACAAGAAAACGTCGAAAGCTCAACTAGCACGGTCTGATTAATGACGTCGTAATCCCTTGGATTAATCGATCGTTCGCTGACGCTAGCAGCATCACGTACAGGGGGAGTGTTACCCCGGTGAGAAAAGCAAGCCGTGCGAAACGCGACCAGAACGCGCGTCCGATGTCGGGTGGAGAACGAGGAGCGCTAGGCCGACATGTGTTTCGGCGAGGTTTAAGAGCCTGTAGGCGATTAACAGGATGACTACAGCCATGGCGATTGCACCGGACCGGAATGGAGAGAAAAGCCAGATGTTCCACTTGACACCTCGAAAGAACGATTTTTCTACATTGGGACTGATGAGGGAACTGATCGTGGCGGCTAGGAGAGAAAAGGTGGCTAGCAACGACGTTGCGTATTCGGAGAGCGCCATGTAGTTAAGAGGTAAAACTCTGCAAGGATTTGACGACTAAAGGGTTAGGACTATAAAGTCCCTGGGTAGACAGTAGACTCGTATTTATATTCGTATGACTGCCTTTGGTGCTTCAACTCCTGCCACTGGCAACGTTAACTCAAATAAAAGTTTTGTGAAGGAGCCGGAAGGACCGATTGGGTTTTGCGGTGGTTGTGCAGGTGTGACTTATTCGGCCCCCACGTCTCTTTGAAGATCAGGGCCTGCGAGGCTTTACTTGTGCCCTTCATATCCTATAAGTAAACCCAGGGCAGCGTGAGACATGAGGCACTTCGCTTGTGCCTCCCGAGGAGGGATGTTTTAGGGAAGGGGCACGGAGGTGTCATCGTATCATTAGCCGGGATTGTATTATTACATGTCCGTACATAACAATGTACGGACATGTAATAATACAATCACTTTACCATGTAATTAGGGTTTGTAAGAGCATATCTACGATCCAGGCATAGAAGGCGATGTCACGGTAAAATATTTGCTGCCTCACTGTACAGATGTGCTCGAAATTAGTTTGACCTCTTTAATCTCTTTAATTCTTTGTCGAGCTTTGTTCTGCATGGCGCTATACCCTTTATGGCTACTCTACCCCTAACCCACATTCTTGGCAGTACCTCAGTACCGTAATAAAAAATATCGGTATCGTATCATGGTTGTATGGGCCATGCTCTGCTCTGTCTTAAACTAGTCACCTGTAAGCACATACAGTGCAAAGTGCGCTCAGAAGAGCTGTAGCATTCGAAAGTTGATTCACAAGAGGCTTCATTCTGTATGGTGAAAGACTACTAATCTTCGAACCCCCAACTGCGGTGAGACAAATCATTTCCTCGACCACACTTCCGGCACCTTACTTGTAAAGCTGACATTGGTCTTCTACGGCCACAGTTCGCACAGTCTCCCAATAATGGAGTGTCAAAATATGTGTCGAGCACATCTTTCACGAATTCGGGCACTTGGGCGGCGATTAAATCGTACTTCTCGCGGACGGATGTGTCTCGTAAATGGAACCTGAGATTGTCTCTCGACAAGCGAGCGGCGAGCTTTTTGAGCCTCGCGTCGTGGATCAATGGCGAGAATAAGACATCGGGTATTGAATCAAGATATTCAAAGGGGTCAAAGTGACCTATAACTCTGTCCGAATATTTTCTCGCGGCCGCGTCGCAAAGCTCCGGGATGCAGTATTTATCGCCCAAAGCAAACAATTGCGCATGTAATTGAAGAGTAGATATTGACAACAGCGGCACTTTGGGTGATACATCTGTCGGACTATCATCAATGAGCTCTGAATAATCACCCGTGTATAAGTAGTCCAGCATTTTTCTAACGACGGGAATCGATTCATCCGTCATCTGGTACGTAGAATCTGCTGCTTCCTGTATTTTAACTAAGTTAGAGATGAAGAGAGAAGAACCGGCTTAAGAGACAACCTGCCCTGAAATTCCCAGTGCAAGCAGCTTGAAAGACAGGAGATTGTGAACATATTATGACTTTATGAACGTCGAGATCGACTCCATCACAAACAATTTTGAAATCGGTGAAATCGCCTCTTTCACGACATCTTCTGCTATTTAGTAAAGCATTGCAAATATCGCGGAGAACGTACTCCGAAATCTTATTAAGAATGCGCTGGGGTTGTGTTGACGAAGTGTTGGGCATGGTTGCGTTAGTGGTATTGGGAAGCAAAAATGGCAAGGTTGCTAGAAAGAGCTAATTAGTACCCGGTTCTTTTAGAAACCCAGCGCATAAAAGAACCGGGTACTTGAACACTTTTGAAACGGAAAGGTCAAGTTATAGCAAGCCAGAGTCTGAATATTGAAGTAAATGTCTTGACGTAGTACCTTTCGTTATGACGTCAATAACGGAACACAGCTATTTGTTAGTGCTTGATGTATAAGCTTTTTCTAATTGACCCAACTACTGTACTGTATCGCTTGGCAGAGATTGTCCAGTAGACACAGCCCCGAAGTGGGAAGGGTCGTTTGATTAACCCGAGTGTGGCTTAGCTCTTCCCTCTATTTATTCCACCGATGAAAAAGAATACCGTAAATTGCACGAAGGATGAGGGGCATCAACAGCAGAGGCATTTCCAGTAAATTACAAAGCCCCACTATCATGTGACTAGGACTTACAATACATTTCGATATTGATTGGGTAAATCTTTATGATTCTTCGTAGCTGTATTCGAGCTTACGTAGTCATGATGTTTATCAAAAATTTGCATAGGGTAGTCGTGCCCTTCGGAATAGAGGAAAGGACATGTCCAAGTCCATTTGTCGCCCTGCCAGGCTAGTTTTCTGATTGAAAATATGTATCAATGGCAATCAATATAATTTTCGCCATCTACATCCCAAATAACTTGGAGGTACCAGCGAAATGTTGGTATTCTCGAAGAATACAGAAGATATGTGGATCTAAGATGCGACTGAGCATACAGTATTCGTCGTTACCATGTTAGCTTTATTAGACACCTCGGGCGGCCAGGACAAATCGATGTACATGGGCATATATGGTATTACTTTTGATTGCAGCTCTCCCTGGAAATATGGTGTCACAAAGCAGAATTATGGTACTACTCTTCATTGCATTCTCCCCTCTTCAGAGGCCCGGGGCACTGAATCTGGGACATTTTAAGATATTACTAGATAAAGCCGTTGGATTTGAGGACTGACATAGATCTGAGGCGACATGATCATGTCTTGCAAGTCGTGACAGTGGATATGTATGTACAGTAAACGTACATATCAAACCCCGCCCCCGCGTCCCCACTCCGCGTCCAGTCACCATCGAGGCAGCCCATTCCTTTTTTGCTGTTGTTGAAGCTTGAGTTTGAGTGAACAATTTTCCTCGGCAATTTTCTTCAGCACTGCAATGGTAATATCTGGTAGATCAGTCATGATCACCATACTTTCGTCGTAAGTGAGAAACTCCTGCGCGTGGCATGAAATTGACTTAATTATGGCGTCTCGAAGCTCGGTCTCAAGAGGCGGAATGGTGACCCAGATTTCCTGGACAATTAATGGAAACCTCATTGCACTTTTGTCGATCCAATCCATAATCCGAGATCTCGCAAGCATTTTTAGAGGGGATATGTCAAACTTGTCGGCCGCCATAAACACTCCGAGGTTGTTCCACATAGCTGCATGAGGTTCCATATCATTACCAGAAGCGCACTTTCGATTTTCAAAGTGGGAGCTATGTGTGTCTTCGTAGTCTTGAAGGTATAGAAAAGAGACAACCCGTTGAATAGTTGCCAGCTCATCATCTGGTAGATCGACATGTGCTAAAGAAGCTTCCTTGTAAAAATGGTTAGCCATATGTAGTGATCACGGCAAAGACTTGTCGCATTTACTCTGAATCCCCCCTTGACTGCGGCGTCAAAAAAGGGTGATTGGGAACAGACTATCGCTCGATGTACTTGGAACTTCTGTCCTTCGCATGATATCGTCAGGTCTGAGTACCTACCTGAATCCAGCAGGCTTTGCAAGATTGGTTGAAGATTTGGAAACCCCATGATTAAGGTAGCTACAAGTAGGTCATATTTAAGGATTTACCATTCTACTATATATGCCTTTGGTTTAAGTATATGACGTCAGCACTAGAATCGTCTGCTGAAGTGGGTGTAAATTTTACAGTATTGTACATTCAGCTCTTATTCGTTTTGAACCTATCCGTACAACATCGGAACATGATTTGAAACACGAAAGTAGTCATATCTGGTTTAGCGGATCGTGTGATTAGGGTTTGAAAGAGAATCTCTTCGTTTCCGACATGGAAGGCGGTTACGGGGGTTACTGTAGAATGAGGGATAGGTATTGTCCGACAGGAACTCAACGGACGCTACTGTAGTCTGTACCTGCGGGGACCATGGGGATGGCCACGAGAAGCCAGCGGGTGGGGCTGAACCCTCAGCTTCCAGACCCCCCAGCCCGTCGCCCATCTCCCATCCTCGAAGCCGCAAACCCCGCAATCTCACCCGAATACCCCAACGTTGAGGACTTTTCTCTCGCCGAGGATGATTCTCACGATGAGGATTACTTTCTCGTCTCAATCACCTACGACTACTCCACCATCACAGCCCGAGCTCGTTCGTTCCAAGGAATAGTGCTTGCTGGGGCCACTCCGCTCCAACTGGCCCGGAATAGCTTCTATTACCGACCTTCAGGAGTCAGCAATGTGGCATGCTGTTTTGCCTGCCAATCGACCAAGCACTTATCCACCTTCCAATGCACCCCGTTCGAGGAAGTGCAACAACTACACGAGGAAGACTGCATATGGCAGATAATCTCGTGCGATTTGAAACACCACCTCGGAACTCCCAACAAACCCCCCTCCTCAACCACCCCATTCTCCTCCCCTAAACGGTCAACTCCTACCGCCGATTCCAGTACACAATCTACAGACGACTCCAGTACAAAGACTCAAACTCAATCCACGCCGATTACATCTACTACAGCGAAGGAACGGTTGAACACCAACCTGGACCGCCGTTCCAATCCGCTACCCGCCATAATAGACCCAGAGCCTCAACAACCTCCAACAGCCCACTCTCCCCAGCCTCATCAAACGATACCGTCCATCACTTCCTCGCCCCAAAACCAACAAACAACGTACGCTTCCGTCCTCCAGCGACCTGTCACATCCATACCGCAACAGACTCCTCCAGTGCAAGAACCTTTTCTTCCCGCCAACCACATACTCACAATTGAAGATCTTCCTCTTCGTTTTCACAATAAACCGTCACCGTTCCAGCTCGAGAATAAGACAAGCCAACGCTCAATCAAACGAACTCGGAACAAAACCGCATCTGTCACTCAGTCACTGTCCAGATTCTTAGCCTCTGCTTTGCCCGTATCCGTCTCATCCGCAATTCCACTATAGCCGCGCCATGAGGGCAGCCTAACAATGGAAACGGCAATTGGCCACGATAGGCCGTGGCGAGGCTCTAAGTTCATGTCAGAAAGTGGATCAATCTATATGTACATACCCGGATATATAGTCGTCGTATACTGCATATCGCTTTGCGAGGGGTCAGTGTAAATGAATACTACTACTACTACTACTACAGACGCGCTCGAAATCAGTTTCACCTCTCTATTCTCTTTGATTCTTTTCCAAACTCAATCTTGAAACACGCTAGTCTGTGTTCGGATTAGGGCAATTTCAGAATCATGAAACGTATTGTAACCTAAATAACATGATGAGTTACTCCGTAATTTATTGGAAATTATCATACGATTGATACCCTGTATCTCGATGTTCTTCACGAGTGACGAGTCACCTGACAGCGGGGTATCTCGAAGACTCAGCCCTATGCTGGCGACTACCCCTTCTAAAAATCACCTGGCTGGAACAATGGTATGCACGATATCATATGATGGTTCAAACTCTGGGTTCCAAGTTGGGCAGAACCTTGGTCATATAACTACTCAGTTCCGTAAGTGAGGTGTATAACTCTGAAAGAACGTGACTAATCGATATGACTGCCTTAGTACAATCGGAAACATCATTGAATGAAGCGTGCCTACGGGATCTGCGGACGACTAATCCTCACCATGACAAAGATCGTATTCAGAACACCAACGGAGGGTTGCTCAAAGACTCATACTGCTGGATTCTAGACAACAAAGAGTTTCAACAATGGCAAGACAACCAGAGCAATTGTCTCCTCTGGATCAGAGGTGACCCGGGCAAAGGCAAGACGATGCTCCTCTGCGGTATCATAGACGAGTTAACTCGATCGATTGGGGACACTGTGAATATCTCGTTCTTTTTTTGCCAAGCTACCGACGTGCGAATCAATAATGCCACGGCTGTTCTCCGTGGCTTGATATATTCGCTTGTCAAGAAGCAGCCATCTCTTCTCTCCCATGTAAAGAGTCAGTATGACCACGCGGGAAAAGTATTGTTCGAGGATATAAACGCATTCAATGCCCTCTCGAGGATCTTCACGGATATTCTGAAAGACCCGACCTTACCGACCACTTATTTGATTATCGACGCGCTAGACGAATGTACAACAGGCCTGGCTTCCCTTCTCGACCTGATTACGCAAGTATCGTCTGCTTGCCCACAGATAAAGTGGATTGTCTCGAGCCGTAACTGGCCTGATATCGAAGAGCGTCTTGACACTACCCAGACCGCCACAATTTCATTAGAGCTAAATGAGGAGTCTGTATCTGAAGCTGTGAGCAAATTCATTCAACACAAGGTTCACTACCTGGCGAAAGTGAAGAAGTATAGCGATGAAACTCGTGATACGATCGGCCATCACTTGTCATCCAACTCGCAAGGAACTTTCCTTTGGGTAGCCTTGGTCTGTCAAGAGCTTGATAGAATATCGCGAAGGCACGCTCTCAAGAAGCTGGAGGCGTTTCCTCCTGGACTGAATGCTTTGTACGGTCGGATGATCGATCAGGTTCGCAACTCGGAAGATGCCGAATCCTGCAAGCGAATACTGGCTGTCATGTCCATAGTGTATCGGCCTATCGCGTTTGACGAGCTGGCCTCTCTTGTTGAGCTACCTGATGATCTCTCTGGTGACTCTGAAGCTCTATCAGAGATTATCGCGATTTGTGGCTCGTTTTTGACTGTACGCGAAGACACTATCATTTTCGTCCACCAGTCCGCAAAGGAGTTTCTACTCAGAGAGACGCAAACTGGGGTTTTCCCTGGAGGTATAGAAGCTGAACACCAGACAATTTTCTCTCGTTCTCTTAAAGCCATGTTTAAGACACTTCAGCGAGACATCTTTCAAATTAAATTTCCTGGATTACCGATTGAGAAGGTTATACCACCCAGTCCGAGTACATTAGCAGCTGCACAATATGCATGTGTCTATTGGGTTGACCATCTTCATAATAGCAGAGGTCATGAAAAAAAAAATCTTGACATTGATGAAAGAGGGTGTGTTAGTGATTTTCTACAAAAGAAATACCTTCACTGGCTTGAAGCCCTGAGCATTCTAGGAAGCATATCACAAGGTATAGCAGCTATGCTAAAGCTCGAGGGCTTACTTCAGGTGAGTAATTGCTCATATACCGAAACCAATCTCCACTTCTGACATTAGAACTACTCTAATAGGGAAAAGGCGAATCAGCTACCCTTTTACATCGAGTTCAAGACGCTTCCCGATTCATTCGATACCATAGGCTAGCAATTGAAAGATGCCCCCTTCAAGTATACAGTTCACCTCTGATATTTAGCCCCATGTCGAGCCTCACAAGAAGATGTTATCAAGGGGAGAGACCGGATTGGGTTTTGAATGAGCCATTGGTGGACAACGATTGGAGTCCATGTCTTCAAACCCTCGAGGGGCATAGCGGTCCCGTCCGCTCGATCGCCTGGTCGCAAGATGGAAGCCGACTCGCATCAGCGTCCTCTGATATCACCGTCAGGATCTGGGATCCGGCCACCGGCCAGTGTGTGTCAACCCTCGAGGGGCATAGATATTCGGTCAACTCGATTGCCTGGTCGCAAGATGGAAGCCGACTCGCATCAGCGTCAGATGATAACACCGTTAGGATCTGGGATCCAGCCACCGGCCAGTGCGTGTCAACCCTCGAGGGGCATAGATCTTCGGTCAACTCGATTGCCTGGTCGCAAGATAGAAGGCGACTCGCATCGGGGTCCTCTGATAACACCGTTAGGATCTGGGATCCGGCTACTAGCCAGTGGGCCGCGTCCCTCTCATGGTGTGGTAGCTCGGTCAACTCGATTGCCTGGTCGCAAGATGGAAGCCGACTCGCATCAGGGTCCTCTGATAACATTGTCAGGATCTGGGATTCAGCCACCGGCCAGTGCGTGTTAATTCTCGAGGGGCATAGATATTCGGTCAACTCGATTGCCTGGTCGCAAGATGGAAGGCGACTCGCATCAGGGTCCTCTGATACTACCGTCAGGATTTGGGATCCAGCCATCGGCCTGTGCGCAACCCTCGAGGGGCATAGCGATTGGGTCAAGTCAATTTCCTGGTCGCGAGATGGGACCCGACTCGCATCAGCGTCTAGGGATAGGACCGTCAGGATCTGGGTTCCGGCTACCAGACAGTGCGTGTTGACCCTGTATATCAGCTCTCCCGACTTCGTTCAATTTGATAAAGTCAATTTTAATCATCTACACACGTCAATTGGTACATTCGATATAGGACTCACTGGTATCGTCACGTCCACTCACTCTTCGACCGTGCTAGAACAATACGGCTATGGTTTGAATGATGACCATTCCTGGATAACCTATAATGGAGTCAACCTCCTTTGGTTGCCTGCCGAATATCGACCAACTAGTTCCGGTCTTTTTTCTGTGTCTGCAACAAATGTGGCGATCGCCTGTTCGTCAGGTGTTGTCATATTTCTCGCGCTCACAGAACAGAGTCCCATCCCTGGCCTTTGATCAATGTTCATACTGCTTCACATCCCTGTGCCTCTCCTACGCAAGCTTTATCCTCAGTGGCCTATATCCTTATTCTCATAACCACCTTTAATAGAAACAAGTGGTGCGACTGTAGAAATCCTAAGTTGGGACTACCTACGTGATCCAGTTGAGGGTTTTGAAGCCGCAGATCAACGCATTAAACCGTCAGGGCAGCCGTGAGTCAACCACCTAGGACAGACTAAGCGCACGGTCAAGCATCCATGACCTCTAAGATATTCTCACTTTGCCCCTAGCTACGTAGCAATAAATGAGGGTCCGCAGGTTCCAAATCGGTCTAGTACAATCTAGAAGCAACCAAGGTCCTGGGAACTATCAGACCCAGGGTGACCAGGGTCACGTGCATTTCCAAATACTCCAGCATCCTCGGACCTTCGGCCAAAACCCATTTCATCCGCTCACTGAACAGAAGGGTGAGCAAGGGTGAGCATGACGAAAAGAATTTCCCCGTGGTGCCGAACAATGCCCATCAGGCAATGCCTTACGGGGCTTCAACCCTCAACACCTCCTTTCGTCCCTTGCACAATGGAGCCGAGGTCTCTCACTCGAAGCTAGAGATGATTCGAGACATGTTCGACCATCAACATCTGCAACAATCTTACCAATTTGAAATGTCAGAGCCCCTGCTATTTGTGTCAAATGACGACAAAGCATCATCCCTAGAAGCCGTAGATAATGAGATGGCTCGTCTCTTATGGGAAGCTCTCTTACGGAACTAAGCTCACCTTTGGGTGACAAATTCGTGTCTCAAGTAGACTATCACCTTACAGTACGTGCCGAAACTGGTGCAACCGGCTACACTCTTCGAGTGATTTTCTAACCTCACCGCCAAGAGACACTAGACCATATTATGAATAGCACCGGAATATTAATATTCCCGTACCAATCTCGATACCGTCATTTACTTTTTTTAAAATACGGCGCCTCGTCTCGTAACTGTATTGGCGATCCAAGGGAACTAGAATTTTCCATGGAAATGCAAACAAGTCAAACACTAGAGCTGGAGCATCTGGCGACCTGTCACTTCCCTCCAGCTCATGTCCAAGTGACGGTCTGGGGGGCTTACTCGGCACCAGACCTTGCAAATAGTGACTTGCATTACTTGCTTACTGTACCTGCAGCCTACTCATGAACCTGCTTATCATAATACTCAGCCTGTCAGCCACAGTCCTCTCTTCTTGACGCAATGTAACACACTTGGTGGAAGCTAACACACAACCATGTTAATAGACTCCTCAGTGGCATCTTCTGCCTTGGGGGGATGACTTACACTCCTTTCAACGATGATGATGATGCTTACCGACCTGAACTGCCCGATCTATGGGAACGGACTCCCTCGTATGCCCCCACCCCTGGTTACCCAGACCGCGAATGGACGCCATCAGTAATCTGCCCTTCACCCGATCCCGAGGATATAGTTGGTGAAAGTTCACCTTCCTTGCATCGACATCCGTCCGACCAGCAGAGTTTTGATCTTGTGGTTGAACGTGCAGATGGATGTGCATGGGATGAACAATCTCCGGACCGTATCCACTACCAGATCGAGTGGAGGGTTAAATTGAACAATCGAGTTGTGGTCAAGGATACAAAACAAGACCTGACTCAACCGCCTAGATCCTACTGGGAACAGATAAAAGAGGACGCTTGTAATATTCTACGACGGAAGACAGCCCGTGGCCGACGGGTGAGACTAGATGATACTGACATGGTGTTATCGGTGAACTCCCAACGGGACATTGACAAACACTTTGAAGGTACTAGGGTTGATTGGACAGTGGTCGAGAAACAGCTCCTAGCGTGGGCCTATCTATTCCGTCGTGGCAAGAAGATCCGGCTTCAGATATCGATCAACTACAGAGAGGACAGTGGACCTCTTCCTTCTAGAACGGACAAGAGAGGAAAGTCATCGGTGACTACACGGATGCTCGCTAACCGAGACGCTCAGATTGACGCCGAGCAGGTCTCCGGCCAACATTCCGTCTGGCGCGATGTGTATCGTGTCATGCGATGTCCCGGGCCTCCATGTCGCCACGAAGGACAATATTGCTGGCAAGATCCAGAGGGAAAAAGGCACCATAGATTGAAGACACACCATCTGAAGGCCCTCGTCAAATATGTGGAGCAAGGTGGGGTTCTCGAGACCCACGCTGATGTCCCTGACAGTGTTCGCGAGCAGCTCTATGCCGAGGAGAACCAGCGTCTGGACAAAAAAAAAGAAAGCTGCGGAGAATTCTACAACGGGTTCAATATGTCCTCCAATCAATATCACTGTCCTCCCAGCAGGATCATCTCAGCAATCGATACATCCTTCCGCTAATGACGCCATGCCCAACGGGCCCGGCTGTGCCGAATCAATCATGGTTGACGGCCTGCTAGATGTCGCTGTGGACGAATATACTGAATGGCAGCAATCGCGGGTGAGCAACGAGACTTTCAGGGAGAACATCAGCAAGGCACGCGATGTGACCCTCGAAAATTGTTTCGACCTCATGCAGATTTATGAGGATCAAGACCCAGGTTTCTTTGTTAAGCACGGCGTGAAAGTAGGTGCCGCCCGGCGGTTCGTTCGTGACATCGGCCTTTGGGTGAAACGACGCAAAGAAGCGACTTGTATCGAAAATATTCATTTAGTCTAGATATATTATGTGCTTTGATTAGATAACAGCCTACACTGGCATGATACGTTTATCCCTTTGCATGGGTTCGGAATGAACTGTAATTTCTTTCGGCGATCATACTGCTATAACAAAACAGGTAAGCTTGCTCTAAAGACCTTTCCCAACACGCTGGTACCGTATCACGGTAGAGAAGATATTGTCGGATATTAATTTGACATAATCCATGTCACTATTGTGAGTAGACTTTGCCCGCTATTTAATGAGGTCAATATTGCTTCAGCTTTAAGTCCCCACTGGATGTGAGACCTGCTGGGTGGGGCCAGTCTCCGCATCAATTTTTGGAGGTATCAACCTTGAGTCGTCTGTTGACCTGGAGCGCAAGGGGGTTAGTGCCACGGGTTAGGGGCCTTTTAGCAACTTAGACCTGTTATCGATCCTATTGGTGCACCCCTATGCCTGCCATTGCTCGGTGGTACATCTCCTCAGCCTCCTATAGCTTCCCTTGATTTCTGTAAAGGTGGGTGCATAGATAGAAATATAGATAATCGGTGCGCTAGTGTTCGAGTCAAGCTGCTACAGTGAAATAACGGTAAGCCATACCGGTATATGATGACGTGCTATTTCTATGCAAATAGCCCACGAAGTTTGGAGCGAATGGCTCTGTGCTTGGAATCTTTGGGATGCACTCAGCCTGCTGGCCTCAGGCTGTACTTAAAGCACCGTGATAATACTAACAACCGTTTCGGGAATACCTTGGTCATGTGCAAGGACCAGCGTGTCCTCAGTCCCAGGGAAATTGACACGGCCTTAACGATGTAAACTCCCAGCTCTTTGTCTACTAATTCCCCTCTTCCGCTCCGAGTACCGCCGCTCAATTCCGTAGTCCTGCAGACATTTCTCCCCGGGGAATTTGGGTGGTCCACCAAGACTGGCTAGAACGGCTTTATTGTTGGCCGTCAAATCATCCAGTACACCTATTTCATCCTCCGAAAACCATTTAGGAATGATCCACACCCGAAATGGTATTAGAGCGATGATCAACACAGGGAAACCTGGGAAATGAAAAACCGTTAGTCGCGTTTGTGAAGCTAAACAGGAGAAAAGTGATACCAATAGCAGCAATTGTCTCGGAGATGGCGACGCAGGCTGCGACCCCAATGAGCTGACACGCAATCCACAGTAGGACCTTGCGGTTCCGCACTTTCAGAAGAGGTTCGTCACGTTGCACAAAACGGTCCTCCCGCATTAGGTAAATCGCTTTTTCCATGATGCCGCTAGATCCAACAGAGCCCCATCCCACAATGAAAAACACGCCTGCGAACACCGCAGCAGGCATAGTGTGGAGAACGATTAGGAGGGGGCCCGTCATAGTGCCAATAATAGCCAGACCCATGACGAAATGCGATACGCGTTGTTCTACCACTGCAGTTGCCTTGACTATCGAACGGCGGATCTCGGCCCCCTCTCCTTCCTCAGTTGGCACAATGCAGAGATCCGTTTCATAGACTGTCAATGAATCTGTGTGTACGGGTGCCTGGCACGGGTTATTAATACTTTCAGAACTAGATTGGAAACTCAATTTGGCTTTCATACCTGCGGAACCAATCCGTTAGGGAAAGGAATACCAATGATGCCCGAAATAAATGTGGTGCATCCGAGAAGGAAAAAGTCCCAATGGAACCCAGCAGGCTTCTTCAATGGGAATTGCCGCGCTTGTGCCGTCAGGCTACTGACGTTCTAGCTATAAGTTAGCACCGTAGCTAGAAGTGAGTCTCCATTCCCCGGATAGAGTCTCATACATGATCATAGTAGAAGAGCAGCATGACCAGAAATCCAAACGGCAGCGCCACGAAAATCCATTTAGCGTCCAGTTCCCAAAAGTGAATCAGCCAGCCTCGCGACTGCGTCGGGTAAAAGGCTTTGCTGATAGGGATACGGGATATATCCGCTGCTTTGAGAGGACCAGGGATGTGCGAAAATCCAACCCAGAAAACCGTCCCGATCTATTTTTTTAAAAAAGAGAGGAAAGATCGTTAGCGGTTCCGAATGGTAGCTGGACCTATTCAGACTCCACATACCACGTATGCATAATCCGCCAGCAAACCCCGGAAAGCAGGCCGCCAGACGGTACTCGACCCAATGGTCTCCAGGCTGTAGATTGTCAGAAAATAGAGTATTGCGATCATGCAACTCATAAAGCCAGCGGTATTCCCTTTGCTAGTGAACTCGCTGATCAGTTCCTGCACACCCTTGCCTGGCCTCGGGGTTAATAATTGTTCTTCTTGACGTTGAGGTAGATTTTAGCAAGCAAAACTGACTGATGTAAATCGTTCCGACATAAAA